CGATCGCGTCATTGAGCCATTATCGATCACAGTGTGGAAAAAAATATTAAAGAGAAAACGGCGTGCTGGTTTTCCTTCATTATGAAACTATGATTAAAATGATTATCTATTTCTTGATTTCATGACTTTTCATTTAGCTTCCTGTTAAAATTACAAGCAACTTCAGGGGCGCCTCATACGCAAAGTTATCATCGCAACCATGATGTATGTCGCAATCATTCAAAACTACTCACGTTGCCTGCACAAGTCAACATCACTTCTACAAGTGAAACCAGAGAAAGTGGTTAAGAACCAGTTTTCTTCTACTTCGAGATTATACTTTTAATACCACGGAACAAAATGTATTCGATAAAATATACATCAGAAGTGATTTACGTTCAAAGTTTCCTCAGTGAAAATGTCCTCCTTGTGTACTCGTGGGCCTTGTATTTGCTCAAGGTCTCGCTGCGCTGACGTCCTCTGAGCATCCGTAGCTTTGTTATCTTTGGATTGCTTTCATTTTTTTTTATTTCTGATTCATTTTATTCTGTCTAAATTCTTCTATTCTTCTTCCTCAGCGATTTTGTTGTTTTTTTCATCTGAAAACATTTGAAATCGTATTTACTGGTCTCTCAATGTATAGACTTAGTGGTGGTGAGAAACTTGAAATCTTTGTTAATAGCTTGAGTCAAGGATTCAAACATATTTTACGAATTCGAGAAAATTGCACACACTCCTCCAACAAAGGGGAAAATTGTGACATTTTCATATCATCTACAAAAAATTTCAACGGTTTTTATTAAAATGGAAAGAGTTTTGGCAAGAATCTCGGTCACTTGACAGAACCGCAATGGAAAAAAGCAGAAAAAAATCGAGAAGTAGTTGAGCTTTAAATATAGGGGTGTCGTCGAAATTGGTGTGGAGTGATTTAAAACAATAACGCTGTGAAATAACTGTTTTTGTCCTTTGCGCAACCTTGTTATTCTGAAAATTTTATTTTCCACAATCAGAACTCTGCTTTGAAACAGAAGTGAGTAACAACGCCAGAAAATTGTCTAATATTCCACACTAACTCCTGCATGACACAGCTCGTAGACTTCAGTTTTCTGTCTCCGAATAAAAATTGTTCCTGTTTATCAGCCTTTGATAACTGTTCATTCGTAGTGCTGTATTGACAGGAACATACAAGAAACAAAAACAGGATATGCACACAGCTGTTTATAACCTTTGGTTAGAGCAAAGTAGTTGATTCAGTATTTTCACAAATAAAAAATATTTCAAAAATCTTTACTTCGGAGATCGCTTATCGCGGTTTGCAATTCTTAGTTTTAATTGTAATGAACATATGGGCGAAGATAATGACTTGTTGGCAATCAATATTTTCCCCCAGGGATGTAAGTTGTCTTGCAATTTGATGATTTTTCACTTTGTAGTTGTCGTGTCGTTCGACTTCATTATTGCTATGATGTAACTGATACTGAGATTATAACAACGTAGTAAAAAAATAAAGCTCGGCACACCGTTGCGATTAGAAATCAACTAAGTTTGTCGCACTCGATCCTAAACAGTAGAAAATGATTCCTGTTACGTAGAATAATTTGGTTATGAGACAACTGGATGAACCGTGAAACATTAACTTAAGGCTTCGAGCTATTTCAAGCTATCAGGAAGTTGAAAGACTTCCTTCGGGTGAAAACTCTTCATATTGACCAATGAAAGTAAACCGCCAGAAAAACTGTGCAAAATCCATATTCATAGCTCCGGAAATTAATCTTAGCGATCGAGAAAAAGCTGTAGACATCTAAAATTACTCGATTCAACAGATGCTTCAACTTTAAAACTCTCACGAAATCATTAAGATCTCGAGTTAAAATTACCAAAGTAAACTGATCAGCATATTCTCGGAAAGCAAGACAGACTCTGTTTCATATTTACGCAGGCTAGAAAAACAACTTATAATATGCCTAAAGGGAGTGAGTTTCTAAAGAATTGCGGTGTTGCGTCAATCGGTAATACAGTAAGAAAATTCTGTTTCATCAACTGAGTTGATAATCTGAATTGGCCACCCTAAAGAGTTTAAAAACTTTTTACCAAAGTTCTTCTTTAGCTTTTGAACAGAGCTTTTTTTAGTTTCAACTCTTCACGGTGGCCAATTTATTTTATCAACTCAGTTGATAAAACAAAGATTATGCCATGAAAACTCGACGCATTTCACGAGTTGCAATGCATAAAAAAAAAAAAAAAAAAAAAAAAAAACGAGTGAGAGCAGCAAAAACGAAGGGGGTTTTTTGATGCCTTGCAATGAGTGAACAAAAATCCTTCAAGCACTTTCCATGGTCTGAAGTTTTTATTTGAAACAAACTGAGATTTTTTACTTACTGACCGACACATTTTAAAGATTGGAAGCGAAGGACGGTGAAAATACATCGTTCTTCCAATCCGAGACACGAACGATAACACTTCACAATGTAAATCTCAGTAAGTACGAAATAAACCGAATTATGAGATGTTTAGTTCTCTTGAATGTGAATTGAAAAAGCAAAGGAACTTTCCTAAAATTTCGATAGAATCACCACAATCAATGTTTACGGTGTTTAGAATATTATGTCGCAGCCTCAGGGGCTACTTCAATGCAATAAAATACAAGTTCGCATTTTTCAAATAGAAATTAATCAGGTATCTGAGACGACAATTGTAACATAATTTTTTCTAAAAATCAGAAGAATGCCTTTAATGTTCATTCTCTTGATTTTTTAATTTCACAAAAGTTCTCGCTCAGGATGTTATCCGGAAAAGTAACAGAAATTCAATGTTTTGCTTACCATACCAGGAAATAGACTTTTCAGAAATTATTTAATTTCCTGAGGCCTCATTTTAAAAAAAGCACATCATGCTTCCCAAAGGGAAAATTACCTTTTCACGGAGAGGAAGTCCGTTGAAAAGGGAAAAGTTAGTTTAGCCCTCTGAGTAAAGGCCTGCGATAAACTTTGATTTTACGGCTTCTTGCCGGACAGTTCCGCTTTTAAATGAGATTTAATCTGGAAAGATCGAATTTTATTCCGTAATTAACGTCATAGGTAGAAAACTAAAATAAATCTATACTTCTTCCTTAGGCAAATGCACTAGGTACAGGAAGAGGTATTAGTGACCTTTCTTCAGGCTTTCGGTATGATCCAGCGGATTAAAAGAGCCAACTGATATTTCACAAATTAAGCAAGGATATTTCAATCTTGATAAAGTTATGAGAATTACCAAGAGATTTTTCAAAGTTCCGTAACTACATTCGCGTGTTTACGCGATCTACTTGAAAACTGCATCTAGAAAGATTATTTCCCTGAGTATGGTTACGCCTAAAAATTTCCTTTTTCAGGAGACGAGAGCGACGATATTTTTTCTATGCTTTTACAGATTTTTTCGGTTAGTTGCAATTTTCTCGAATTCGTAAAATATGTTTGAATCCTTGACTCAAAATGGATGAGTTACACACTTTTCAATTTAAAGGAAATTCACTTTTTTCCTTCAAATAGCATGCAAATCCTCAGATTTTCATATGCACAAGGTTCTTAGTTAAACAAACTTCTCTTGATCTAGAATATTTTGAACCTCCAGTTCTTTATTGACAATGCTATTTATTTCTGATCATTCAAAGTATTGTTCCTTTAAAATGTGTTTGGAAAAGATGTTTGAAAAGATGTGCACATAAGATTTTTTTCTTTTTTCCAACTCTTCTTTCCTTCCGCATTACCACCATGAACTTGAAAGATAAAATATTTACTCGAATCAATCATTCTCACGGAAATTGAACAACAAATTTGCATTCATGAATTTTTTTCTCGGATGTACGTGATATACGAAAAATGCATTTGCGTCCAGTCTGTCAATATTAATCTTACCAAGCGAGAGTAACGTGTCATTCATTTGTCTTCTTCTTTTTCTTCAACTTCCTCTTACGAAAGTGAGATTCTCTATTTCAAGTCGTGAGTGATAAATAATCGGATAAACTAGCGGGAGCAATTTTAGCAAGGGGAACGGGAGTGAACTCAAAAGAAAGGTAATGTGCTCTACGGAGAATAAGGTGCTACCAATGCGCAGTTGGTTGATATCTTTTATTTCTTTGGTGGCTAACGTAATGAAGAACAGATCACCTCTCGGCTGGCCAAATCTTAAAACGATTTTGAGACTGGACTTACTTTGTCGTAGTTTTTTATTTTCTTCCATTTCAGTTCTGTAATGTTGTATTTTTCGCAATGAAATTTGCGATTCATAATAGAGTGAAAATACATAGTGTTAAGTGATATTAATTTTCACTTCCATTAACACACAATGGATCACATTATTCAGCCCTAAGCACGTTTGTTTGTTAATTTAAATCTGGTTTTAGGAAGAATATTTTTCAGTCAATCACTGATACTATCACGCGTTTATTATACTTTGATTGTGATAATGCTAAGGAAATCCTGTGGTCAAAATTGTGCTTAGTTTGTGACATTTCGCCCTGCTCAGTTTGTGACATTTCGCCCTGCTCAAGAGCCCACCTCAGCGGCGACGGAAAATGACACATAGATAAGCAAGGGAAGAAAAACGACACCGTGCACAACTGGTAGCCATCCTAAGACGTTTTATCATAAGCACCCCGGTCGACTGGCCCGTCAAAAATAAAGACGCTAGAATACGCGTCTTTAAACGTTCACACGAAACCAATATTTAACTGAACACCTGCAAAGAGTTTTGATTGTTTGATTTTCCATAAGCAATGAATTCTGTAGCCAATAGAATTCCCCTTAAATACAAATATGTGCCACATGAAACAGACTCTCAATTCATTTCAATTCTGCGAGACGAAGTTAGGATCCTCAAATAACTCAGCTCGGTCATGCTTTACTATCGAACCATTATCAATAATGTCGGGATCGTCGTCATTTCATTGAAAACTGATAGTGGAAATTTTCAATTTGTTTGCTTTTGAAATTATCGCTAATTATGGTGTATATCTTTTTCAAGCTTCTGAGATTACAGTGACGATGATGAATAACTCCTCTGAATCAACCATCTCTGACGAGGAGGATTTCGAAATGACAGACATCGATGACGTCACAAAGATTGTCACTACTAGTGCATACGCGATCATCTTCCTGTTTTCATTCCTGGGAAATTCGCTCGTCATCCACATTGTGCGCACACGTGTGAGCATCCGTCGCAACCCTTTCAACTGGCTTTTGGTAAACACTGCTGTAGCTGATCTCTTGAATGTGACAACTGCCTCTGCCCTCACGGTGCCAGTCATCTTGTGTGAAAACCGATGGATATCAGGCGTAATAGGTACGATCCTGTGCAAGTTGACAGTGTATATGTTGCCGGTTTCCATCTGTGTTTCAATCTGGAGCCTTGCCATCATTGCTATTGATCGATATCTGGCTATTGTGTGCGCCATTTGGAAGAGGAAGAGAGAGCCACTATCGCACAGGTCAGTGAAAAAGTCCATCGTTGCCGTGTGGGTATTCGCAGGCTTGATATTTAGTGAGGAGCTTTACAAGTACACAGTATACGAGGTGGAGGGGGAAGCCGCTGAATGCCACGGGCGGTGGCACAATATGGAGCCTGAACTTTCGGATACTCTTCATCGAGCTGAAATGATTGTCAGAGTAGTCATAACCTATGCTGTCCCGCTCCTCGTTATATCAGTCCTTTACTCACTGATAGCCAAGTTCCTCTGGACACACAAGCCACCGGGAAATGCCACATTGCAGGTGCATATCAAGCGAACAAGAAGACACCGTGCGGTTATCAAGATGCTGGTCACAGCTGTTGTCGTTTTCGCCATTTGCTGGCTTCCCGTTCATATCGCCCACATCATGGAATATTTTTACTCTGATATTTACGACATGATTCCCTTCGGTACCCTGGTAATGATGTACTGGCTGGCGCATGCTAATGCTGCAATCCATCCCTGGTTGTTCATTTACTTTGGCGAGAATTTACGAATGGAGACGAAAGGAATATTCCAGCATCTCAGCAGCAGAAAAACCAACGTTTTTGAACAGTTCAGACAACAAACATTTTCCCTACCAACGCTGTCTACTGATCCAGATCCGGTTCGCAGAGCCAACAGAACAAAACGCGATTCATTCATCGCTATATACGCCGTTTGACTTTGATTTGGTTCGTAAACTCTGCTTGATAAATTGAGAGCCATGATATATCACAAATTCTCCGTTCATCGTATCAGTGCTATGGTTTCTTTCTTCAAAGCTTAGTTGGCAGAGCTCAGATTTTGTTCGTTAAGTAATCCCAGATTTAAATTTATCTACTACATCTGCATAAAAACTGAAGGTGATTGGGACACAATCTATTGACCTACCATGATTAAAACATTTAAAATTTTTCTTTAGTAGTACCTGCATTAGGAAAGGCTTGCATGAAATTCGTAGCTTAAAAGCTGGCTTTGGGTTGACCATATATATGTATATGCTCAGAATTTATATTTCTTGATTTCTGTAAGGTAAAGTACTACCTTGCTGGTGGGGTAGTCTTTACATCAATTGACCACAACATTTTTTGATATCAGGATATGCAATTACTACATAACTAGAATAGATTTTGTTATTATGTAAAAAAAATTGATTAGACATATACTCACTTATTTAGGATAAAACTGTTCAGTTTTAGATATACACTTTAAACTGATGTTTTAACTGTGCGCCACAAGAAAACTGAGTACGAGAAGCATCCATAATGCTTTGGGTTAAAAAGTATCTTAAAAGTATTCATTATGACAACTCTTTTCTCCATTTCTTTACACACACTACCAAGCTATACCATGAACCTTGTCAGTAACCTTTAGACGAAATACTGCTTACTTGATTCCGGAAGTTCTACGAGGGTATTCCTTTACTACGAATCACTGATTGTCTAAAATGTACCTCACGTCAATCGTGACTTTTAGAAAACCGGTTTTGAAACTTTCTGTGGGTATTCGAAGTGGACATATTTTCGATGCAGTTGCACTCCCTCCAAAGAACACATCTAAGGCATTCCTCTCTTGGTACTCTTTATCACCTCATGGCCAATGTAAGCATCAGTGAGCACACCTTGATGTCACAATGGGCGTGTACATCAGTTGTGAATATGGGTGTCATTATGGCATGTTATCACTCAGCTGAAGAAGGCTGAAAAAAAAGGGAAGGTGCTGTTAACTTTGGGTGAGGATGTGCCTTTAACACTCAACTAAGAATAGTGAGAGAACAGTGGGAGAAATCTTCTAAGGGGAAACGCATAAGGGCAGGCAAAGAAAACATATGTAAGTGGTGGTGTTCCTCTCTGAGTCAAATGACCTTCATTCATGCTGTTATAACGTGTACTGTGATGGAAGCTGCGATGACCGACCAAACATCCTCAGCTCTTGAACTTTTGAGCTTGTTCTTCTGAGTCTCTGAACGACGAAATAGGACAACTCAAGTCATTTTACGCAATTAAGAAATTTCGGGAAAGAAGGTACACTTGTGAACTGCATGTTTGATGTTTACTTCACAAAAAAAACTTGTCAGTGGCAGTTGTCGAGCAAGACTTCCTTTGATTCGTATGAAACCATAAGCGACGGGGTAAGAGGAGGGCCAAGGGAGTTCTAGATCCCCCCAAACAATAATGTTTTAACCCCTGGTTCCACCACGAGCAAAAAAGTGGTTAGACAAAATGTCCTCTTCTGCAGCCTTTAAAAAAATTCAATTCATCCGGATCAAGCTTAACGAGATAATATTTTGTGGGCCTCTTCTTTTATGGACAACTACCTTCGAACTTATCGTCAAAATCGACCAAGGACAAACACAGTGGACTGTCTTAAGCAAAGTGGTTTCTTTGTGCCAACAAAATATGAGCAGAAGCAATATTGGGAAATTTGATTAAGTCTCTCTGTTTAGAAACTAGTATGTCTAATATTGGAAAAGAAAGTCCTTGCATCAAGGAATTCTTTTGTCAAGAAAAACTCGACAAGGAAAGTTGCAGGGCTTGATTAATAAGCGATGAGTTCAACCAGTGTTTCTTCGCGTTACTCACCTTGAATGTAGAAGCTTTCTCTGAGAGGGAGCTCTGACGTCCTAAAGGTGTTACAACTGAGGAACCCGATAGTCGTTTACGGATAAAGCGGATGGCTTTTATTGCCTTCCACGTCTCTTTCTTACGTTTGAAGTTCTTCCGAATCTAAAACAAAGACAAATGTTCTTCGTATAACGTTTTATTGTCAAGTCTGTTTATTAGCTCAGAAATAACTGTTTTTACCTTGATTTGCACACACATGCAATCCACGTAACGTTATCTTTGGAGAACTCATCTAAAGTTAAGGGTTTCAAAAATAACTAAAACTGTCCCCTGGAATTGCTTCTTTGGCGTCCACTCGTTTGTTAATGACCATCTGGTGAATCGGGAAACGTTTATCTCCTTATTGTTTATAGTCGAAGAATATTTTTCCAAGTTATATTAAATATAACTGATAATCAGAGAAATGAAGAGAATTTCTTGGCAAGAAGAAGAAAATTGGTTCAAAACTTTGATGAAAAAATTATGATGATCCGAAATGTGATCACAACAAAATCATTTTATATTCCTAAATGTAGATTTGGTTGAAACGGTATTACATACCTCCGAATTAAACAAAGAGTGAAGGAGAAAAATGAAAAAGCCCTGCAAAAGACAGAACAGAATATATGTGCATCACCACTCCGTATTCTAGCAAAGCGCGGGCTTCCGGTCAAGCAAATGCAAATCTGGTTTCAAAGTTTCCTTTATCTGAGGTTACCCAGAGGACGCTTAAAACAATGACATTTGCACGCGTAAAATTTCCGTTTTTTAATATTCAGAAACGGAAGAGCAACTACTGCATGTTAAAAGTTGCCTACGTAGTGGCCGTTGTGTTTAAAATGGCGAGGGGAGAGATTCGATACAAAAGAAGGATGAGATTAAAGGTCATACTGGACTGCGCACGTCTGGGCACAAACGAAGTCCTGAAGCAGAAGGGACATGGCAGTTATTTACGATTTGACAAAGAGCGGAAAGGTAAGACCGGTTCTCTCTCGAACTCAGCCTGGACATTTTCCGAAAAACCCAGAAAAAATTGTTACTTGTACCTATTGCTTTTCTGTCACCGATTGTGTTAAAAACGAGACATTATACACAATATAAAACAGTTGCAGACTAAATGCGCGAAGTATTATGATCGTAAATTCGCCATTTTGCGCGGTATTCACGCGTGTTTTACGCGCACGCCGTTCAATCTACACGCATGCTTTACATGTGCGCGATTCAAAACTACGTGTGTGCTTTCGCAGGTAAGGCAAAGTACATGGATGTGATTTTTATTGTTACAGCTGTTGCCTCGGTAGTGTTTCCATGCTGTTTTCGTAAAAACCATGAACTCCTCGTAAGATCTGATCGTTATAGGTTTTGAAAAGAAAAAAAGATTACCTGCATGGTATTAGACAGAGCGAATAGATACTGGAATGCAACACTATGAGTAGCAAACACCAGCAGTCCAAATAACCAAGTAATTCCAAGAAGAGGAAAAAGTACCACTAATGACTTGAGAGTAGATCTGAAACATGAAATGAAATGTTTCTGTCATGCAGCAAAGTCGGCGGCCTTGTAATCAAACTAGTATCTGTTAAAGGCTGTTTTCTTGATATTGTCCTGTTTTTGATCATGTAAATCAGGTTCATCTGTAATTATGACAGGCAAAAAGAAAGCCTTTCGAGAGAATCATTGAAACAGAACTGAAATCTAATGACTTTACCGAACGACATCGCTCATGCAAGTTCGTCCCGTCGTGTGAAGGCGACAAATCTCATGCAAAACCAAACCCAAGATCACAATGTTCGCCTAAAGGAAAATAATTCAAAACATTAATTGAGAGAAGAGATTTTTTTCTGAAAAATAATCATTGTACAATGGCTAAAAAAACTTACCAAAGTGGTAACAGCTACAGGAATGATGAACGCCAACAAAGTGTTTCTTTCGGGCGAAATCCAGCAACTGAAGAAATAGAAAGACCTCATCTTCAGTTGTGAGAGATAACATACCGCTGAGAAAATAATGAACTCTGCCGCAATTTTTTTGAACTCGTTTATACCTTGTTTTTGTGCCATAGTCGGAGTACATACAAGCAGCTGTTACGAGAACAAGCAAAGCTGGAATCCCTTTTGAAAGAAAACAAATTTTTAGCCAGAGAAAGTAGATTAGATAATGTTGAAATCACAGACCAATGGAGACGTAAGGGAATTCGAATGAGCCAGACCAAAAGATCAGACGACATTATCGACACAGCTGATAAAATCAAATTATCTTGACATACAAGCATAGCTTTATTGCCTCTTAGGTTGTCACGCGAAGATTTCTGACATTTGTCCTTGGGATGAACATCAGCGAAGCACTAAATTTACGATAGACTCTCAACCCCAAATTTACATTACTCACCCCAAGCTAACACAATGTAGTGATAAATTTTAGAAGACAAGTTGAAGACTTTCACCACCATGGTGTAAAGATGAAGTCCCTCGCAAAGCATCCAACCGAATGATACCAAGTAGAAATAATGAAGCATGATCGCCGTGAATTTACACTGGAACTAAAGGTGTGAATAAAAGAGAGACGACATAACGAGGTCCCTTCCTGTACCTCGCAATCAGTCATTAGTAATCATCTGGGGGAATAGCTTGAAGGATTTAGGGGGGAGGAATCACTAGGTTTTCAGGGGGGGATGAAGAGGGGATCAGTCGTCTCCAACAGAGTACAAAGAGGGGAGTAGCTGCCAGTGATGGGAATCATAGGAGTATTGCAAAGCCTTATGGGGATAACAGATAAATTTCATCGTGACACAACCAAGATACTCCAACCGCCCGCAGACGATAAATGATGATCTACCCCTTATTCGATAACGAAGTTCTTTGTTAAGATTCCATCCTTGAAAACTATCTCAGTGATTTTAGTTTTTTCCCTTCTCTTTTCTCCTTTCTCTTCCTTTCACTCTTCAAAAAGTCTTCGCGATTTTCTGAGTTTTTAATTCGTTTCGTATAAACTGTGACCCGGCTAAATTGAGATCACGCATTGTCTAAATATTTTGCTCTTAGATTTTATTTCATTAAGTGAAAACCACTGTCAGTACGTGAAATCAGTAGATAGAAAGCGGTTTAAAGGTTCCGTAAATATTTTACAAACCTCGTTTTCTGTCTGCTCTATTCCAAACAAAAATATGGTTTGGGAAATGGCAATGGACACCAACAAGTTCCCATGAATGATATGACGGTCTGTGTTCAGCTGACTGTAAGAAAAAAATAAGAAAGTTAGGGAACAGGTCTCTTCTTATTGAAATTTCAAGGTTTTGCACAAAATCCAAGCTAAAAAATTTCGGTCTAGCTGTTTAGTTTACCTAATTTGTCCAAGCCTGATTTTGGTTGAACTTTAAACTTACGTGAAAACAGCAAACGACGTAATAGCACCAACAGCTCCAAATAAGGATAAAATGCAACCAACGTATGTAATGATACCCAAAGCAAATTTGTCAGCTTTTGGCACCTGGGAGAATAAAGCAAGTAAATCCAAACTGGGTCAGTTTGATAAATCAGTCAAGGATCGACTAAGATCTTGCATAGTACATGTAAACAACATTGAAAATTCCGATTTTGTGGCATGAGGTGGATGTTACATATCTATCAATGACGGCGGAGCGATATTCAATAAAGTAGGGGAGGGGATCTGAAAATCAAGTCCTGGATGCATAGGCCACTGTAAAGGGCTCTGTTGAACGTTATTTAACTTTTGCTTTAATCTATTTTTTCCGGGGGGGGGGAGAGGGAGGGGGAGAGGGAAGAGAAGGGGAGAGGGAGCGGGGGCCACTTCCTCTAACCCCATAACATGATTACCACTTAGCACCCTTCACCATATGTTAGGCCAGTTGCGCGATGAAACAAAATATTCAACTCAAGCTAATTCTTGAAAGAACAAGGATGAGTTTCCAGTTGTACGTTTAGACACCTACCGAATACTCTCCAGATCCCATAAGAACAGCAAAGTTGGTGAGATGACCACAGGCGCACACAGTGTGTGTCCTGTTGGACCTCTCTGTAACCACGTGACAACCGTCACGTGACCAAGCTCCTCTCCCTTGAATCGTGCTAGTGTAAATTTGAAACAACACGGTAAGGATTTTCAAAATTCGGTTCAAAAGTTTCAATACAAAATGGCGTAATGACGGAACTCAGCGTGACTGCTGGGCGAATCCTGTGATTAAATTTGCACAACTTGCAAGAAATTACTCATCACTTTGTCCTGTTAGGTTACACTTAACCGGTTGGAAAAAAAGGTGTGCGTGTAGATGGCACCGGGCATCAGTACCAAAACAATCAATTTTTTTTTAAGTAAGCTGCTATTATGATTCAAACGACCAATAAAGGAATTCGAACCCTGTGTATAGTCCTAATGGTCTAAGCAATCAGCTTTAGAATCTGTACAACACTTACTGTTTTGAAAAATTCCAGAAAGCGCAATATGTGTACTCATTTTCGTCAAGAGCCTGAAAAGAAGAAAATTTTACTGTCGACCGCCAAATATAGAGATAGACTATAGTTTCTAAACTTCTTCGTAAGCATCCGACAGCATGCGCTGAATTTCAGGCGAATATATCACATGTCTAATTTACCTTAAGATGTTTCAGTATGATGAGAATATTCCTTTGGTATTTCTGCTTTACCGGCACACATAGCGACATGGATATCACGTGGCTATTCAGCCTTAGAGTTTCATTGGTGTCGCTCCTAAAACAATCACAGCAAAACGTACGTTAAAATATAATTAACATATATCTCAAATGCTGGCAAACGACTAAATACTTACAATCGTACTGGCACAATGGCATGTAGTCTTGAAAACAGAGCACCAACAGAACGACACGGATCTAAAGAAATGGCAGTGACTGTATGTTATCTATTTTCTAGTGTGCTGTAACCCCAAAATTTTCCCAGTCTTGCTAATTAAACGGATAAAAAAAAAATAGGAAGTAACTGAGGAACGCGGAGTGGAATCAGAAATGCCCAGAGATTATTCACTTTAAAATCTCTGGACATTTCTGTAAATTTATTTTCACGGTGTCTATCTTTTAGTCAGTGCATGTGTGCCTATAATGCGGTTGGTTCGATAATGAAGAGCCAAGTAAAAGCGCTCTATTGCACAACGGAGACACACCTACAACTTCAACTGTTAACCCTTTGCCCCCAAAGAGTAACTAACATATAATTTCTCCTTACAATATCATCCCTGAATCATACATTAAAGTCACAAGATTAAAGGAAATGATCACCAACCAAAGAAGTTCTTGATTGTTAAACAAATTCTCTTTGTCAGGACCTTAAGAAATGTATAGAGAACCGTATGGAGAAAAGGCTTACTGATCTTAAGGTGTAAGGGGTTAATGTCATACAGATACAGTTGGCACCTACATTTGCCTTCAGAAAGCAGTTTCCTGGGTAATTGTATCTGGTCAGTGAGTTCATCCCAATGCATCTGCTTTTGAAGATACAGAAGAGATTCTTGTGGAAATCTGTATTCCCCGTTGATGTTCGCACTTTCAAACACTGAATTATAACAAGAATCGTATTAATTTGTCATCAAGAATGCGATAACTATTTATTTCTCTTTCCCACAGCTATGTTTATCATATTTTATTGCCAAAATTTTTATATCATTAACTTATACGCACATGAAGTCACGACCAACGTCAAATTTTAGTAAAACATCTTGCCACCCTAGCATTTTGATTTATCAAATATTAACTGATTCTAATATAATTTTCATCTTATTTCTTATCTTTCCATGGATTTCAATCTCCTTGTTACCCGAAACATCGAAAAGGGAGAAATATTTAAATAAATTACGACGAGCTTGGTTACGTTTACTTACAAAAACTCTTGGTAAATATTCGTATGATTTCGCTGCTATTCGCCAGACGTTTTTGGGCCTCCTTCCACAGGTCTTCTAAAATTGATACGATCTTAAAAGCGTTAAGATAAGAAGAACCGTTCCTTGGAAAAGTCAAGCTCCCAAGCACGTCGTCGGCATCCTCAGCCGTTGTCTAAACGGAATGAAATACAATAGCGTGTTGCCGGATGTAATTTGCACACATAAGTCTATCAAATATGAACCGCTTCGATTTAGCGTTGTCAAAGTAATCACAGCTGCCAACCAAAAGAAGGGAAGTTGAGGATGAGAAAACGATAAATCGAGATTGGCTTTTGGTAATCAAGAGGGCATGATTACTTAATGCTGATTGAACCTTTTTGCTGTTTGCGGCAATGATTCATTGATTGCAATTTTACTGAATGAAGTTGTGTAATGTTGTTAAAAAAATGTTCATTGAATCTATTGATCAGTTACGTATGTTTTGACATTTGTGGCGGCATTGAAAGGGCTTCAACGCGCAGAATTCGTGCGCTAATGCAATTCCCTTAAAAAAACTTTGCCCTTTATGTGATAAAGAAGATGGAAGTAATCCTGTTTCGCGACACGGGTAATTTTGGGAAAACTTTGAAAATACAAGTGAAATTTATCCTTAATTGCCCTCAGGCCCATGCAATTACATATACTAACACTTCAGTCTTATTCAAGAGAGAAATTCGGCTGAACCGATTATAAAGGTTTTAATAGCAAGAGTTGCTGGGATAAACTAGAGTTTTGTGTCGCGTTTTGTGTCAAAGAATAATGTAATGTAACACACCTGTAAAATATCTAGTATCGAAGCAGTTTTATTTCTCGCCATGCTTTCCTTGAGCCGTCCAGCTTCGTTCTCGAAACACTTAAACTTTGGGAAAACAATATTCAGTTTATGTGCTGGTTTTCATATTTACAACAGGACATGGAAGACTTTATTCCCTAGCAATTATGCACCTTGACAGTTGATTAAATCAAATGGAGCAAACTTAATATCTCGGGTCAAAGATTTCCCAGCGAACAGTTGCGATCGGTACTCTCCCCCCACTAGTAAAAAGGCAACAGAGGACTTTTGATCATGAGATGGAAATACCTTTTCCGTGGCTATCAGGCGTCTTTCTAAAATTTTCAGCTCAGAATTTCGAAATTATTCCAGTATCATATCCAAAAGTCTAATTTATAAACCATCTGTGTTGATTGTTAAATTTTTGGAATCGTTGCCTACCTTTTCCTCCAAGGCCACCGATCCACAATGTTTCGTTTTTATTGGTTCAACGGTTGGGTGAGAATTTTTTGGATCTAAAGAAGAGAAAAAGCAGTAAAGTTTTAATGTGACATTTAGACTTGGTACTTCCTTGTTATCTTTCCTTCCTCTGAGTCAGTTTGTTGAACTTTTGCTGAGGGTTACGAAAATTTTTTAGGTTGGAATCAACAAAAAGAGAATCTAGCCGATAAAAATAAATAATAAAAGCTTTACAAACTATTTTGTGTTTTCCAAAATAGCACATTTTTGGATAAATTAATGATTCATACCGTGCAGAATTTCTGCACTGGACGTTAAGGTGTGCAGAATTCCTGCAGCACTGGACGTCAAGGCGTGCAGAATTTCTGCTGCTGCGGACGTCATACCGTGCAGAATGTCTGCAGCACTGGACGTTAAGGTGTGCAGAATTCCTGCAGCACTGGACGTCAAGGCGTGCAGAATTTCTGCAGCACTGGACGTCAAGGCGTGCAGAATTTCTGCAAAACTGGACGTCAAGGCGTGCAGAATTTCTGCATCATTGGACGCCATACTATGCAGAATTTCTGCAGCACTGGACGTCAAGGCGTGCAGAATTTTTGCACGCTTGGGTCATCAAACTTTGCAGAATTTCTGCAGCATTTAACGTCGTACCTTGCAGAATTTCTGCAGCATTACACGCCACACCATGCAGAATTTCTGCATTACAGTTCGTGATAACATATCAAATAAAAATTAAAAAACCGCTTAAACATATTAAGGGTTAAAATCAAAGACTCCATCGTTCCATTCTTAAACGTGCAGAGCATTATGTGCACTTTGACCAGATTTAACAACCAACGCAGTAAGAAATTGAATATTTATATGAGTAAAACGCACTTACGTTTAACTTTCTGTTGAATTATACAAAATGTTGTTCTTTTGAAGCAACACATTTTCTTAATCCGTGAAAACTGAAGCATTTTGCTTTTATTACATAGGAGAAATTTCCTTTTTATTTGCCTAAATAGTGCTGCTTTGAAGCCAACATTTCACTTTGTCTGGAAAAAAAGCACGATATTTTGCGGAATCGATATGAAAAATATTCCTAAAAGGTCCATTTTTCACGGAAAATGCTATTTTGGAAAACACAAAATAGTTTGGAAAGCTTTAATAATAATAATAATGATAATGATGATGAAAATCATGATAAATTTTAATTAATAGTGATAAAAATTAAAAACTTATCATACATTTTGATATGATGTTTTAGCGGTTAAAAGTACACAGGACCCTAGTGACTGCTTAAAATTGCTACAATACATCATTCTAATAAATTAATTGTAAATTCAAATTGATATTCTGATGATTGTTTGTTAGGAGACGTCATATAAAACAAACTTGTTTTAAAGATACCTTTCAAAGCTCATCGATGATATAAGGGATATTCTTTACCTGAAAATGAAGATGTAGTCACTAATTGTCGTGGTGTCGTTGTATATCGGCTGTGGGTAACACTGATTGACGAGGAAGGTAAAATTCCACTCGGTTTCAAGCTCCTGACGCTCGTGGATATCCTAGGAGTAGGAGTGATTGAACTGCGACAAAGTGAAGCGATTTGAGCTGAAAAAAAGGTCTATTGTTATCTTCGAAACAAACAATCTTTATTTCTCACTGATACGTAAGATCATTTCTGTAACCTCGATGCTGTACACCATATAGAAAAGAGGAGAATTCATGCCCCTAAAATCAAGTGTAAGCCTCTCAACGATTTGTAAAAAACCGCCGCCTGGTTAGCTCATGTTGTAGAGCGCCAGCTGTGGGGGAGGTCGAGGGTTCAAGATCTAGCCTGGACCAACACTCAGGGTCTTGAAATAACTGAAGAGAATGCGCGCCTTTGCTGTGGCATCTGCAAATGGTTAGGCATTCTAGACTTCTCGAATAAGGACGATAAGCCATAGGCCACGTCTCCTGCCTCTTCTCTGTACTGGTTAGCTAGACCAACGTTAATGAACCCGCGCACTGATCGCAAAAAGTAGGGAACTTAGCTCCCGGTGTTGTGGTCTGCCCTTGATTATGAAATTGAGGGCATCTACAAAAATTCTTTAAAAAAATTGCAAACTGCTCAATGCAGTCTAGCCAAAGTCCCTTGCAAAGTGTTATAAAGCGCCATGGGCTAAATGGATATGGCGCTATAGAAATCCTTCATAATCATTATTATTATTATTATTATTATTATTATTATTATTATTATTATTATTTTTTAAATTGGCATCCTTTTGTCTCTCATTCGATTATAATTGAATTTGGATCAGATAGTCTGTCTTTAATCGAGCTTGGCGAAGATTTTTCGTCAATTTGCTATTACTAACTTAACAAACCGTAATACAATTAATGCCAACCGTCTCCTAGACTTTCTAAACTTTTTAATTCACCCAATCCACCTTAGGCGCACTAAGTAAAATTCAATAGTACAAAGTATGGACAGTTAAGAATAATGTTTAATAGAGTGTTTGAAAAATATAAAATAATTAGTAAATAAACAAAGAACTTACCTCTATTTGTAATATTCATGCATTGGCTATTCACTGGATTGTAAATAGGGCTACGCGATGGGCATACCATTAAATACGCCTCACTGCCAGTTGAATGACAGCTATAAAACTTTGCACAGTCATTTGGATCGGGGAAATAGCCTGTGATTGAGCACGTGAAGCTGTCTGCAAAAAAATTATGTAACACGAAAATTTTACGACGTTTAACTTTTTAACTCCTGTAACCGACGAAGATAGAATTTCTCCTTACAATATCAAGTAAGACAAGTGATGAGAATAAAGAAAAACATTAATAAGGGGATTATTAATTGATCCAATGGCAAATCCTGAGAGTGAAAGGTTTAAGTTCTCTCTTCTTTCTTTATTATGTTTTCCTGGTTTACAGAAACTAGCCTGTTTTTTATTATTTTTCCATAATGCATAAGAAATGTAAGCAACTAACCCTGTTTTTCCTTACCTACCTTACATATCTCTTTGGGGGAAACTTATTTTGAAATCATTACTTCAGTGAAGTGTTTGACTTTTACGAATTGCTTGTGGAGTGTGATAGAAAATCTAATCCTTACCATCATCCGCGTGGTGATCGCAACAAGAGATTATGTTTAATACGTATGGTACCGAAAGGGTATCTACTAATCTTCATTATCTTCATACAAGAAAAGTAGCAAAGAAGTAGCCTCATTCAAAGCCGTTATTAGACCTCGTCACCCAACGCTTTCTCTCTAGATTACCACAAGAATCTCGGGGGACCAGCAGAGGAAATGAGTATCCCTTTTCTATTCCTGGTGCCAAACCTTGAAAAATTTCCGGTATTTTAGCTTTCCTGATTTGAGGGCAGTGGATCGATGAAAATCGCTACGTTGCCGTAAATAAACCTCAAAAACAATAACAATTTTATCAACAACAATCACCTATATTGAACAGTCGCAATAAAATTATTCGCTTAAAGCACTCTCACTGGCGCAGTGACACACGCACATAAGCAACTCAGCACACGCGTTTCGAGCCGCCAAACCCCTAACTCTAGTTCGCCCTCCTCGCTAGCCGGTTCGAGTCTTTCGTTTTTAACCTCTCGTTCCGCAGCGGCGATGAGAACCTACTCGCTAGCAACTTATGAAAACTATTAACAGCCAATTTAGGACTAAATATAGAATGAAGTGCTTTCTAAAAAGCCTGCTAGCTCTTGCTCAAAATGATAAACACCATGCGTGCTGTGTAACATTTGGTCGGCCGTCATTGATAGAGCAAAAGGAAAGATTATTTTATTTGCTTTTGCTTCAAATATTCCAAAATGTAAGGAAATAAGGTCTTGAGGGGAGAAGATGATAGATATTTAAAACTACTCGCTTAGAGGAAAACTACAGCTGAGGAACAGGAAGGACTACAGAGCTCAATATGCAGTCGCTCGTCACCTCCAAAGCGATAAGCACTCCTAATAAAAACACAGCGCGCAGCACGAGTACGTACTTCACAGGAGCGATCACCAATTATTAAAAACATTTCTACCAAAATCAATTTTCATAATTATCCGTGTGATTCTTTCAGATAAAAATATCGAGGATAATGGTATTTCACTGTACAGTGCGTATTGTCACGGAAAGCATCAGTCAGTAGACCACCGACATAGAATGGAAACCGAAGAGAGTCAACTAGGATACTACATGTAATTATATCATCAGCAGTGCCCTTTGTGCCGACCTCTTGTGTAGTCCTGGCCAACAACTTCTCAGGAGAAGGTGAAGAACAAGTGCAACACTTTAACATTACTGCCTGAATTGCAAATTAAATTGGATTTGACCTACCTACTGTGTTCTTCCCATTTCCATAAAGAATGAAAACCTTAAAAGCGATAACAATCAACACGTAAGGATTCAGTCGCAAGCTATACTCATAAGCTGGCGAAACTCCAGTTCCTTACTCACCTCAATCATAAATAAGACAGTGCCACTCAGTTTCGACATAGCTGTAGGGAAAAGCTTCGGAGTAGCTCACAATGAAGCAAGTACAGCGGCGTTTTTCGAAAAGGCATACACTTCCCCTGACTCAAATTCTTGAGGATAATGTTGGCAATGCTCCTGGGAAACTCGAGATGTTATAAACAACCTGTGGTCACAACAGTGTGCGGAAACTGAAACCGCTTTCTGTCTGTCTGAAAGCTGTTGGGCTGATTTGACCACAATCAGCAAATGTCGAGTCGGCTTACATTAGAGTAATTTACATCATAAGGAAATAAGTTATACCGGATTAACACATGTCTTTTGTTCGACCAAGTTCTTACATCTAACAATAACTTTAAATTAAAGCTTTTAAGCCTTTTGTTTATCAGCCGTTATCGTGACTGTCATTATCAGCTTCTAGAACGTTTAATCGTAATCAAAGTCGGCGAAACTAACTTATGCTTTGTCACTCAACACTTTCGCACAAACCCTTTTTAGCCTTTCCCATATTAGGCCCTGACTTTTGGTTGTACAATCCCTTGGTTGGCATTGTTACCAAAGCGTTACTAAAGACATGACTGGGTGAATTCAGAGAAGAGACAACTACACCATTGTAACAAACAAAGTATAGTCTAAAACAGCGAAAGATTGCAATATGTGGCTGTCGTCTTTTCAGAAGTTTTCTATTGTTTTATCGAATTAAGTTGTGGTAAGAATACATATACTCAAAGTTTATTAGATAATGACAAAGAGTAACCAGTGTTTCATTCAGGTGGAGCCTAGAGGCTACCTATTTCCTGCTTTTCGCGCAAAGAACAAAGCTTGTCACTCAAGTATCTAGTTCGATCGATAACCCATGAACTGCCAACTTAAAGGCTTACTACAACGTAGTGTCCCAGTTTTGGAGAAATAGCAATAATGGCCACGCACGGACTGCCGTTTTCCACACAAAAGCCAGAGACGCCAGAGTCAGAAGGTGATAATTAACAACGAAACTTGTATCGAGCGGAACGCACATAAACTGAGCAGCTGGCGTAAACAAACAGACAAAGGGTCACTATAGTCGTCCTTCAATTTACTGTAAAATGAAATTGGATAACTCCAAACAGCGGACCAAACGCAACAATAGTTTAATTGAGCTCTATTGTGGCCCAAAAGTTACACTTATTACGCGGCTGGCATAATAAGAGGTTTTACTGTATATACAAAGTGAACATTATCATCAAAGGTTCCTCAGGTTTCATTATATTATAGTTTTCAGTGTGTCAAGTTTGTGACAAACTGATCCACACAAATAAATTGCAATTACATTTTACTGAGGCAGCAGCAAACACAAGATGTAGCTGAACTTGAAAATCCAGAGATTTGATGGGATTGGGACCAATGTATCGACATCAAACTGTGTCTTTGCAGCTGCCGTTACAGGCCTCAGTTGGATACCTAAATTATTCTTTTAGGTATTACCGTGGGCATTTCAGTGCATTTCAGCTTTAATTACTCCTTGACGTGATAATACACTAAATCAACTCGTCATTAATCTGGTCACCTACAGGTCAATTGTGATTTCTTTCACATGTTATTTGGTCTTTGTTGTCTGTGAAAGAGGAACTGACATGAAAAGTAACTATTTGATATCGTAAGTAGTGACTTCAAAACCATGTCAAATTATAGGACTGATTGGGTTGCCATCGGCTCAGGCAATTTTTACTCAATAATCTAGGTAGAATTTGATAAATAATTTGCTCACCGCTGTGATATTTGCCTTCGTTTATCAAGAAAACTCACTCAACGCGTTTTGAATGTCGGTTATATACGAAAACCTCGTCGTGACTGAAAATCTGTGGATATAGGACATTTCAAACTTGTAACCGACCAAGCGAAAGATGCTTTCTGTCTTGTCATGAGTGTGGGTTAAAGATACGATACCTAGCAGGGACTCTGGAGGACGCGTGTCATACGTGAGCTTAGTAATAGCCTTTCTCGCCATCAACATGGTCTTTGTGGCATTGGAGCGTGGACTCTGAATTTTTTCTTTGTCTGCGCTTGTGAAGGACAAAAAGCATCTTTCTCAATTTCTTCACCGAGCTCAAAATTTACCATCTTTGTTTTATTTATAACCGACTTCTTCGACAAATGTCACCGCAAACAGGAGGAAAGTTCACCGTTATCATGAAGCTTTGTCTCCAATCGTGAAAAGTGTGATGATGATTTCTCTTCCCCAGCTCTCTCCGGTTGACTTTATCTTGAGTCTGCTGAAAAAAAAGATTTAAAGTAATCAGTTGGGCCGGGTTGTTCAAAGCTGGGTTGAGATAAATCAGTGTTAGTGGAAAATATGCATTATTTCAGATGTGAAAGCTTTCAAAGAAAATTTAGTACAATTCCTTTTGTCTGCAATTTGATAATTGGATGCCTTAAAAATAATTACGGAAATTATCCGAAAAAGGCTTTTGAACGAAGGAATTAAGAAAACCGGATTAAATTTAACACTGGGTTAGCGCTAATCGGACTTCGAACAACCGGTAACGATAATTAGTATTTGTTATGCAATTCCCTTTTGCCCTCTTCAGGACTCATAACGTCTCCACTGATAATACTACAAGGATTATTGTTCAGCAAGAAGCCATTTTGATTGCCCTTATTTCTTTTTTACTGCGAGGATTAAAAGGAGCATGATACCTTTCGGAGCCAATCTTTCTGGTGTTCACTATGGCTGGTTGAGCAGCCATAGAATTTTGCTTCCTTCTTGTCGGACCTACATTACAAAGGAGTTAGAACACAAAACTCATTTAAGGGGAGTCAAATGTTTTTGACGATTTTGTTCAATTGTAAAAAAAATTAAGGTGGCTCTAAACTGTCAGAGCATATCTGAAAAAAAAAACAAATTGGCAAATTTATTTATCTTGACATGCTGAAATTAATTCAGTATTGAAGAATTGCGGTTACCAAATTCGTTTTTTTAAGGTACAGCTAAAATTAAGGGGGGTTTCTTCAATGGTCTAGAGTCTCTGTGGTAACCTTATAAGTTACAAAATGATCACAACTTGCTGATAAATTATTTTGAGTTTTCTCGATACCACTTTCGATCAAACAAACGTAAAGATATGGAAGCTATGATCCATCGAAGAATTGATGTGTAACCATTTTCAGCTATCTTTTAAAGATAGAATGAAACACTGAAATGACAATTTTTTAGGGTTGGTAACTACTGGTGATAAAATAAAAGAAAACGAAACAAAACAAGATTGTTTTAGGGTTGCGGAGATTAACAAGATTGCACCTTTAAACCCAGAAAAGCGATATTTTTTAGAATTCTGAGCTTGTTTGCAATGAATTTGGTATGTTAACGATCGTGCGTTGTACTGAGCACGTGATCAAGAGCAAAGCAGCGAAGTGGTTTGAATGTAATCATCGCGACCAATACAATGCTTTTTCCATGACGTTTCGCTTTGTATGAATTCAGTTCAAGTTCCATGCATCACCTAAACTGATTCAAAATGCAATCTGTAGGTCTGATCAGATCTTGTCCAGACTTGCATATTGAATTAACTGTATACTGTATATTTATAGCGACTGTAGGGAGCACCGTGAGAAATAACTGATTGTCAACAAAAAAAATTCATTCTTCATTGTTTCTGCTCTGAATTGTTTTTCTCTTTGAAGAGGCCTTCAGAATATTGACCTTCTGTGACAGGCCATTGTATTTTGTGTCAATTGGGCGTTAACGTCATCACTTAAAACAATTAATGCTGCGCTGAATCCACTTAACAAAGAAATTTTTTTGTTTTCAAGTTGATTTGCCCAGGTTCTTATAATTCGTCTCTTAGTGTACAGGCAACTGATCAAGGATACATCTGAAGCAAAGGAAAAAGGGGCCCTTGGAGAAAAAAGGAGCAGGTACATTGATAGCTTGTATAATAAGTTTTGGTTTCCCATTCCTTATGAAAATATTTCCGTTGTCTTAAACCTCGATATCAAATGATTTGTAATGCTCTTCTATTGATAAAAAGTTGATGTTGCCATTTATTTCTTCAAGACTCAACGTGAATTGTACATTTCCCGTATTTCCCTTGAGATGAAGGCCATTAGGAAGTGATTTACAGCCTCAGAGAAATTTTCAGTGGAGTGATATATAAGGCTGTGTCGTGGCCGCTCGAGATTAATCGCATTTAAATCGGTATTAACAAAAAGGAACTTGGGTGAGAGTTTGACATGCGATCATGCTTGCGGGTAGATTTATGCTTCTTTAGAAGTTCCTCGACCATATTTAACAAAAACAACCGTCAACAAATCGAGTCAAATTTGAGCGCTTGATAGGTTTCGGAATTCTCGGCCAAGAAGCGGCTAAAAATTCGAAACAACAGTTTAAATAATTCCTAACTGTGGCTACAGAGAACAAATATGTACATGATTTTTATGTGTACGTGTTTGCTAGCATCTTTGCATAACAATTATTTTCTTGCATGTATTTTGGGCTGTATCACCATATACTGAGGGTATGTTCACCATAATGAACAACTTTTTTGTCGAAACTAACAATATTGACATGACGTTTACACTTGTGCTGTAAACTTAAACTAATGTTATTACCAAATTAGCATAAATACTGGACACCTATTTACCTATATTACCTTGTGTAAAGTTAACACAAGCCCACTCGGAATCTGTAGAGCCGTATGTCCAACAATGTTTTCTTACGCCTTGTTTCTAAGGTGATTTCATAATCAAGTATATCTGTATACTACCCAAATGATGTTCTTTATATTGTGTGCGGTTTGCATCTGCGCAGTCGGCATTTAACTTTGTAGTTAAGCTATTACAACGAAAAAAAAATTATTCTGTAACTTGAAAGATGAACTTATGCCACAACATATGTGGAAAAGAATAGAAGGGTCAGGGTTTTTTGTTGCAGTTAAAGGGAAAAAGTCAAAGTATAGAATTACTTACAGTATTTTTCCGACTTTTCTGGCTAAGATTGCGCTTGCACTTGCACAAAAGCAAAAGTATGTTTTAGGAGGTTTCTGTTGATTTCATCGAGAGCTACCCACGTTAAGATACTCCGGAAGACACACCGGGAGCTGAGCGAGTATCTGTAACTTTCAATCAAAAGATCGAGCAAGTCACCACAAATTCATTTTCTTAACCCTTGGACACCTTAGAACGACAAGCATCTAATTTCCCCTTACACCATCATCCACGAATCACGCATTTTAATTTAGGTCGTGATAATAAAAGAAATGATCACCTACCCAAGAAGTTCTTGATTATTAAACATATTCTCCTTCTAATCCCCTTACGAAGTGTATAGAGAACAGTATGGAGAATATGCATACTGATGTTAGGTCGTAAGGGGTTAAAGTAGTCCCTTGTTGCAAAAAAAAGCCAATTTCTCTGATATCATCCATGAGATTTGAAGCTTCATGGAATTAACGCCAAGTTTCACGATTCCCGTTTACTTTTCCTTCCTTTTTTTTATTTCTCGTTTATTATTTATTTATTTTTAAATTGGATGAGTTTATATGATATCGAATAAGATCTCGTAATGTTTGAAATAACATGTACTGTATTTTTTTCATTTCTTTGTCTGGATTTTCATTGTTTATAAATATTTAGGCTTGATTTGTAATTTCTAAGTGTTTGCTTTTATCAGGAGTGGTTGTAAGGATATCAATTAGTGATCATAAAGCATTCGACCAATGGGAACGCGGAAGTATTGAACTGAGTACTTTATTACCAAGTTCTTCAAATAACAAGCTGCAGCGGGTTCACTGAATGTCACGGAAACCTCATCTCTGAGCTCTGTCGGACGTTTCAAAATATTCAGTTATTTCCCGTCGACTTTTGCTCTTACTAGGTAACGGAAAACGTTCGGTGGCTTAAGACCAAGCAAGTATTCCATTGCTTGAGCGGCCTCTGCGAAAATCTGAGATCTAGACAGAGATTAATTCATATTAGAAGGAGATTTCCACGTCACATTTGTGTCTAGTTTAACGTCCTCCTCGGTAAGTCATGAGAGACAATGATTTTGGTGCTTGTATATCTTTAATACGTTAACTTAGTTAGATGGTTTCTTCGTAACGAAACAGTTTGTTGTTTACGAGAAACAATTTTCCCTCATGCAGCCACGAAACTTTCGTTTTCTTAAAGCAAATTCTGGTTCATACCTTCGAAAAGCTTGACGCAAATTCAATATTATAATCTGTATGAAGGCATTCGTACACACGCGTCTTCGCTGAGATGATTTAGGCAAAGATAGTGTTTATTATATCAAAGTGTCTTTGACTTAATAAATAGCGCATAAATATTTTGATTTTTATTTACGTAGGTGACTAGAAAGATAAATCTCATCTGCTAATGTCGATTTTGTAATTGGCTTTTGAGACATAGCTGGTATTGACAGCTCAACCCACGTTGGCTAGGGGCTAATGATAATCTACTGCGATCTTTTGATAGAATACGCTTCATTTTTTCATCTTGTTTAAAAGTGGATTTATTTGCGTGATTTTTAGGAGCAATTTTTTGTTTCTTGGTTTATTTTGTGTTTTCCAGATATAATACTAGCCTCGACTTTCTATCATGGCGTAGAAGAATGAAAGCGTTGTCTTAGCGAAAAGCTTTTCACATCCGGGCGATTGATTTAATTGGCTGGAGCGGAACATCACGAGCCTTATCAATTTGATCTCCTTTCAAAGGAAGTACAAGAATATCGATTCTTCCAGATTTTTAGGGAAGAAACGGTTGTTAATCGGGGAATTTGAGTAATCTACGGCGAAATTTCGTGGAAAATTAATATTGATCTTACTCGATCATCTGTCCGATCTTCTCGCACAATTTCATATTTCCCATTGTTTTTTATTGGAGCATCCAAACGATTTTGGCTTCATAATCTTCTTCTCATGTGAAAGAGCGTAACAGTGATTCTGTTTGTGTATGCTTTTCGCTGATTCATCCTGCCTGCTTAGTGTCAAGCTGCGCGTTAGCGTGATGTTGAGGCTTTCATGTAAACAGAATGTTTTGTCCCTTATCAAAGTGGGTTGTCATATTGTTTTGTTTTTATTGATTCGCAATCGTGGGTCGTTAATCACGGAGATCACGCCAACAACAAGAACCTATATTTCGTATCCTCGCATCCACGACTCGAGAGCAAAAGGTAGTAAACAATTTATTTCAGTTATACTTCAAACGTTACTTTAAAGTGTGCTTGATTCCTTACTGGGAAACGAACAGGCGTTTGCCACAGTAAGTCTCGTTTTGAGAAAGAAAGGTTGTATGTTAATAATGTTCCAGCGTCCTGCCAAAATTCCCCGGCGATGCACGTAAATATATCTGTTAAAAGCAACAACGAGAAAATCGTAAAAATAAGTTGAATCACAAAAAATAGCGGCTGGCCTTGAAGCCAAATGAATACATCACCTGCAGTCTAATATCAGGAACAACACGAGGAGACAGCTGAATCCATAACAGCCCTCTTAATGATATTCTTCTTATCTTTGCCATAATATTCTCCACATGCAAATACATTAACTTTTAAGAACCATCTATAATATAGAAAAACTAGCTAACTTTTCCATCATTCAAAAATGTTTTTTGAAAACTTAAATTAAAATGGAACGATAGAAATTTCTGGGGCGAGAAATTTTTTCCCATCGGGGTAAGATTTCCTAGATCTATGAAACTGTAAATTTTGAGAATTCACCTCATGTGAGAATTATCGGGAAAGAGCCAAATAAATGTAAAAGAAACTGACACCGGTGAAAGTGAAAGCCTTCTGACAGTTCAGAAACACGCTCCATACTGAAAATAACTTCTGTTGACAGTCAGGAGAGTAAAGTATTTGCATTGACTTACTTCTGGTTTGACAATATGTTTTCTGCAACTTCTTTGAAATTCGATCGAAAAGCTAGTGTGAAATTTTCAGCTTTCACACGGGAAATCGAATATTGCCACTCTTAAACCAGTTTTTTCCATAATTCATTAATTTATTTTACTTTGTCCTTTATTTATTCATTTTTTACCAAAAGGGTATTTTTTCATATACTTTTATAAACTCTTAAGTCTTCTGGCACTGAAGGAGGGAGAAAATCGACCATTATTAGGTTATTCATGACACATAGTTATCCAACGACGTTTCTGTGAGCTGTTAAAGTTGGCTAACGAAATGTAATACATAAAATTCCTACATATTAAAAAAGTTATTTTTTTAGTTGCAGCTCTGATCATAGGTATATTGGAAGTGCCAAGGATGACAAATACTTTTTTACTCTTTTGTTATGTTTTCGCCTTTAATGTTAAGCACAATATGGTAATTATTTGGTGTGACTATGAATATAGTTGACGTTAAAGACAGGTGGCGTTTAGACAAGAAACAATCATTACAGCAGAAGTTAATAAATACGGCGCCACCAGCATTAAAACTGTGCAAGCAAGTTTTTAATCACAAAAATTTTATGAATGGTCTGGTGAATAAGAACGGTTTTCAGAGTGGTAATGGTGAAAACAATTCTTAGAGAGATCAATCTGGTCTACATTCCCTCGGGGATACACTAAAGTCACTAAGAAGAAGTCTGTCTAATATTGAAATATTCTTTGTTACCCACAAATGAAACTGTTAGTTTATATTTTCCTCAGTCTCATTGTCTCCGTCATACTTCCTGGGCGCTATCCTTGCTCGAACACACTTACTCGTGTCATTAGTGTTTCGTCCATTTAGATCGAATTTCTTTTTAGTTTTGATTGTGAAACTTAAGTTCTTCGGTAGATTTGTTCTTATTTAAGAGAGCGAGCTTCAGAGCCGGATTAGACTGAGGTAAATTTACCGTGAAATAAGTTGGGTATCTCCTCAGTTTGTTTCCTTTTAAATGCCAACTTTTTCCTTTTTGGCAGAAAAAGAGACAGAAAAAATGATGTTAGACAAAAAAGACAACTTTTGATCTTAATTATAAATCATAAACGCAGGACTTTTGTAATCAAATTGGTTTTATTTTTACTCCTCCAAGAGAGAGTCAAACAGATGTTCTCGTAAAATTTATCTACTTTCTATATCTATCCCTTCACGATCGCATTTCAGAGAGCGTCAATCATGGCCCCAGAACCTGAAAACTACAACTCAACAGCCGAGCCTGAGCCGGAGAGTACAGCCGAGCCAAAAACTCTTTTCCCGGAAATAATGACCAATCAGGAAGCGTTCCTTATGTACGGGATTTTTATCTTCTGCCTGGCTGTCTTCTGTATTTTGCTGCTGGTTCTCTACATCAAATTGAAAAATAAGTTAGTTTTATTTTCATTCTCGTACTTATTATTTAAATTTGTTCTTGTTTCTTAAACAATAAGGGACATGAGAAATCACGATAGCGAGATCTACCATTGGGTAAATTTAAAAAAAACTGAAGAGATAGCCGTCGCGAATCGCTGGGATCATTTTCTAACAGCGTTACACCTCTGTAAAACATTTAAGGGCTAAACATGAAAAAAATCTGCAGTGGTAGTCTGAGATTAGACACATTTGGGTTTATGATTTAGAATGAGAAAGACTGGCAATTGTTCAGTTCTTAACCACTTCCAGGTAACGGTTTGAATCCACTTGATCGTGGAGTCTAATCGTCCGGGTGAGAGTAGTCCTGGGTAGGCCTTTTCAGTGTCGGTAGTTGTGACAGACAGACAACCTGAGCGGAAAAGGAAAGAAAAAGAGTCATCAGAGCCAAGGGACTCTGATGACTCTTTTCTCTAAAAAAAAAAGCGTTATTTTAGTGAAGGTAGTGGGACGCTTTTTATGTTGAACAGAGCGGAGAAATAATGTGAAACATATTTTCGTTTCGATTAACTTTTAGGGTGAAAAAACTGGTTAATGCAGCTGGATCGATGGACATGAAAGGTTATAATGGTTAGCCAGAGGTTAGTAGGTGAAGATTTTCGATACTTTTGACTGAGTATTTCCCTTTCTGTGAATCATCTCTGATTTTCGATTGTATCAACACAATGCTATTCTTTCGGTAGACGTATTTCATTTATCGTAATTTACAATAACTTCAATCAGTGAAATTGTCGTTTCAATGATAACACTTGACCGATCATGTATTTAATCGTTCATTTGTATATTTTTTAAAATTTTGTCAGCATTTGCCGATTTGCTTTCTTGTCCTTTGTATTTCTTTCCTTCTTTTATGGAGGGGAGGAGGCTTTGGGTCCGCCAATGCATTCCTTTTTGTGGCTTAAATTTTTATATGATTTAATAATAACACTGTTAGCATTGGATTCATTAGTTTTAAATCTTACCTTTCAGGATGTCCGAGAAGGCTCTGTATAAAGATAGCCTCTTGCTGCATAGCATGTGATCACCAATGACTTACATTATATTCATGGATAATGATCACCCTTAGGACAATGTAAATTCTGTAAATTTTGCTGCCTTTAAAAGTCCCCATAGCAGGAGCAAGTCATCATATCGGGATAATCACACTTTCAGATAATCGTGATTATTGTAAACAGATAAACATCGTAAACTTCTAAGCTTTTTCAATCATTTTTGCGATTGCTAATCACTTTACACATTTTAAGCCATTTTATTGTATCTTGTATCGTTCTTTGAAGGCTCTGCACTTGGCTTGTTCAATTAAAAATCATCTTTTACCCACCAGTTGTTTACTTTAAGATACGACCCCTTCTACACAAAGCAATTTTCAGCTGAATGTCAAACGTAGAAAATCGCGCTTCTTTTTCAACCAATCGATTCAAAACTGAAACTAATCGTAACTCACGGTTCATTCGCATTCTTCTGCAGTTCAGGCGATTTGTTTATTTTTACTCGAGTTTTCCTCGGCTACTTGTGGTATTTTCATTTCTTCCGATTGGCTGTTGTGATTCCTACGCAACTCGATCGAAGTGCTCTACAATGGATAAACAAAAAAATAATCATGACCAAATCCGCTCGACGAGGGAGCATGGTCCTACAGGAACCCTCAAATAACTTATTTAAAAGTGATAATTTGATTGCAACATTTCCTCAATGGATCAGAGGAATCTAAAGATTATCAATAATCTTTAAGTCTTCCACAAGGTAGAGCGGGAAACATTTGTATTCTTCCGCTGTGGTTACGGTACACATCTTCAGTTTCCAAGAATAAACACTGATCCGAAACTAAATGTTTGGCAACGTGACAATTATTTTTCACATTCGCTTGTGAGTGAAATTTTGAAACAGATGATGAAAAAAAAAGATTGGAAGGAGGCCAGGAGAACTTAAGCGTTTTTGTGGGTAATTTTATTTACAAGTGGATAATCGTGTTCCCTGTGACTATTTCACATGATTTACAATTTTATAGCTCCTTTCTGTACGACCAAGATATACTAGCGTCATGATACCGTTTTTACAGTCTCCTTCACTCATATAAGGGGTGATCACCACCTCCTAATACACTCAGGTGTAAATTTGTGTTTCTAGGTAGCCTAAGACATCATGATTATGTCATTAAATTTTAAAATTAGAGATTCACGGAATACGCGAATATAGACGTTCCTGTTTGACAGTAAGGTAGCATGAATTAAAAGTGAAAATGCAATATGGACGAACACCAATTCGGCAACGTCACCAGCGTGTCATAACAAGACAGCCAGGTTTTCAGTCAATCGAGTCACAACTGAAGGTTATTTTCAAAGGAGCCACAAATTCTGAAGCGCTTTCACCAAAAGGTAAGAATCCCGCTGAAAGCCATCCGTCACTGAGATCTCTTGTATCTAAGAGCTGACATGAAAGAGACTTAACGCCATTTTCTGAAAATGGACCGGGAAACTATCAACATAGGTAATAATCTGATACCAATCAAAATTAATCATACTCAGAAGAGCTCATCCAAGAAACACTCGATGACAAATCGAATATTTTAAACTGAGAATCTCTAGAATCCTATCTCTCTTTTTCAATGATTTTATGTGAATAACATTAGGTGGACGTAACAGCCTAATAAATTTGTTATTTCAAACTTACAAACTTAACCACCACTACGAACCAGTTCAGCGCGCATTTAAAGGCCATAACTTTTAAAATAAGTTAGGCCGCTAAAATTTTGATTGATGAAACGACGAAAGGTAGTGAGGATTGTATTCCATGGAGACTGACTAATTAGATACTTCATGTTCTTTTTTAAACATTCGGGTTGACTACAGATGTAAACATATTACGTAGCGTTTGCATTCGGAGTTGCATATGTTAAATTACTGAGCCACCTCTTATGAATTATAAAAAAGGACAAATTACTGCAATCTGTCTCAGCTCTGTTTACTAAAAAAGTGATTCCGCCACCGTTAGCATAAAATCGAATTCGTGATCTCTTCATGTTGACCCACACCACGGTGTTCGGACATTGTTCCCGCAATCCTCTTGATAGTGCCGGCAAAGAATTATGTGAGCCGAGCGCTAAAACAACCATCACTAAGAATTTCGACAGATGAAACAAAACTTTAATTGAAAAACAACATATCTATCAAATTACTCCATTAAGAAAAACAATTCGCAAAGAAATGAATTATAAAAGCCAGGAATTTTTAGCATACAGCCATTTTTGGAAAATGCTTGTGGCTAAATAATTTTCATTGTTGAGCGACCGTAGATAATTGTGCGTCATTTTAAGCTTTTCTATATCGCTGAGTCACTGAGTAATTGCGTTCCTGATGATGACGAGACAGTTTTTGATCTAAGTTGCAATCACGCTCCAGGAAGCACGAAAAGTTTATTGTTGTAGCCAATTGGGGAATTGAAGAAACATAAAGTTGATAAATTCGCTTCCCTACAATCGTTTTAGGTTCTAGTGTAACCCTGTTTTTAGCAGCGACAATTCTTGCAAAGAGACCCATTCAACCAAAATAAGTCAGAGACTGCATTAAATCAACGGTTTATTGACTTTGTTCAGAAAAACATCCTTTCTCGTAGTGGGTTTGTCAACAATCTTTTGTGGCTACGCAACAAAAGCAAAACAACATTTCCCAAAGTGTGATGAACAGCTTGAAAAGCAACCGCCTGTTAAGTAGAGCGTGAATTGACGCGTTTGCGAAACAATAAAACTGACATCATCGTCGAGTGTTTAATTTGTAATGGTCTTTCAATAGAAAGTTGTGAAAATCTGCTGGGGAAGCTAATACAAGTTTCACTCTCTAATTTTTCCGGTGATAGAGAAGGTTATTTTCGACTGAGTAAGTATTTCATAAGAGCCTTATGTCACCTATACATGAAAGATACAATTGGTTTTCGTGGAAGGCGATGAGTGACAGATCACGTGGTCGGTCCAATATGCTAGTTGTGATTAGTGGGCTGAAACGAAACACTGTTGCTATACCCAAAGTCTTTTCATAACAAGTTTCATTTGAAGATAACTCCCGCGTTGTTCAGCACAAAATTGGTATTAACAATCTCAGGTAAGGAAAAAAGTTTCAAAGTTGTACGGCAATACTTGAGAAAAGATAATGAATTCTTGCTAGAGATAGCAGAGCATCGCCGTAGACTCATCATACAACTCGAACAGAAAAAAAAAGAAGTAAACATCTGGTGGAAACGCCGGTCATAACAACTTTTTATAGTCCACCACAACGCTCGAACGGATCATTGCAGTCGTAAAGAAAAGTAGGGAAATAATAATCGCAGAGCTATCCCATGTCTTTATTAATGTTTTCGTCTCGATTTCTGAGCGATTAGGCCTGCCTGGAAAAATAATTACATTCACGAGTGAGAAGATAGTTTCAATGATGCAGGGAACTTAATAAGCTAGTGATGTGCTCTATTTGCACGAATCGCTCTTCTTTGATCAATATCGCTTGATGCCGAGAACAGGAACCTTCACAATCGGTTTGTTTGATCCGAACTACGAAAAGGAAAAAAAAAAGGAATATTTCCTTATCTAAAACATTCCTAACCTAGTTTATTATGGATATCTTTATTGAAAGTATGAAAACATAATAATCTCTATATTGTTACCCAGTCAATTGCTTTCCACTTGCGACACTGTTAATCCTCAGCATTACCGGTTTTATGAAGTTTTTCTCAAGTTTCTCATCGGAGATACCTCAGTGAATCGCTCTTAATATCGATAAACTTTCGTACTGCACTTGTAGACGAGAGATATCTTTGCATTTTCAAATTTAAGGTTGAAACTGACCTATACCGAATGCAGCTTTAAATTTTTTTCTTCTCGTTTAAAAAGTATTAATGAGAGTAGCTAATAGTTCTCGAAATGAGCGGATTAGCAACTGAACAGCTTTCTACTTTCAGCGGAAATATCAGACATTTCAGTGACCCTCTCTTTGTAATGTTTTGCGTCAGAGGCAATTCTTTGAAAATAAAATTTCTCAGTTCGGTGATTAGACCCTTGGAAACGTTCAAAATATCGTCAGGTCTTCATCACTTGAATATCTATATTTCATTGGGAGAGTCCTAGACATGAGCATCGACAGTCGTGCTTCAAGGTCTTTGCGGTGGCAATACAAAGAAAGCGCCCTCTAAGCTACTCAGTGTTGAAGAAACCCTGGGATTTAGCTAGATTTTTTGTAGCTGGCGATAGGCTTGTTTAGCCGACGAAATAATCCTGATTCAGTTCTTATCTTAAAGCTACTAAATTTCTCCTGATACAGTTTTGCTTGGGGAGTGACGTCTTTTGAAATTAGGCTTCTTCAGTGTGACAGGTACACAAATTGACATGAATCGATTCCCTGCTCACCAAAAAGGCGGAGATCCTGATAAAGATATGTAAACGCACAACCTGGTCGCGAGCGTTCTTTTTCTATTTTCCATATGTGGCGAATATTAAAAATCGATACAAAACTGGCCAGAAATCATAAACGTTTCCAATGATTCATTGTTCAAATAAATCAAATTATTATCTTTTTCAGCCATGGGACACCACGCTGAACCAGAATCGACCGGAGAGCCTGAGTCCGAGCCTAAGACTATTATGCCAGAGATAATGACCAATCAGGAAGCGTTCCTGATGTACGGAATCTTTATCTTCGCTCTGGCTGTCTTCTGTGTCGTGTTGCTGGTTCTGTTCATCATGATGAAGAAACAGTAAGTGTAGATCGTAAATAAGACTTCCTATTCAAGCTCAAATACCAATTCTCCCTTAACCCTTTCATCCCTATGAGTGACCAGCATCTAGTTTCTCCCTACAGTATTACCCCTAAATCACCCATGAAGGCCACAAGAATAAAGAAAATGATCACCAACTAAAGAAACTCTTTATTGTTGAATAAATCTGTAGAGAATATGGAGAAATGCATACTGATTTTAGGTGTAAAAGGGTAAAGTTAGGCCTTGAGCAGGGATGTGTTTGCACAGCAAGAGAGAAACTCTAAGCGGAAAATGTTAAAAAAGAAAAAAGATTCCTTAGCGTGAGTTTCTAAAGGCAGTTATATGCACGTTGATTTGAAATTTTATCATTGAAAGAGTGCTTCCTTAGTTATGAATTTTTTTAAAATCTGTTATAGTATCATTCGTAAGCAAGAACGCCTTTATAGTACCTATTAATGAAAACTTTTATTTCAATTTTGTACAGAGTTCGTAACCTTACCGAGAAAATGGGATATGGGCAAGGTCATATGCAGATGGGCATGGCGGAGAAAAAAGGTTTGCTAAAATTTTCAGTTTACTACTGATTTAGTGACAAAGGTGAAAACGTGGTAATTCATAACAATCCAACAACCTAACAAGCCCTTAGATACCAGTAAAACGCAATTATAGGACCTTACCTATAACTCTATTGGAAACTGGTGTCCAGGCCCTTAGCCTGATCAGACCACTTAATAGTTTCGTCCCATATCATTTGGAGGAATTAAGTTTTATCGAAGTAATATAACAATACAGTAATATAATGAATGGGTTATAGGTTTTAACGAAAGACTTTGTTTTTGGCAGGTTATATTGCTTGAAGATTTTGACCTACAACTGGAGTGTTTGCAACAATTTGCTGTGTAAATAAACTCCGGGTAGATTACACACGTTTTGTGTTTTGTGCAACCAGATAAAAATTGATGAATTCTTGTAACAGGTACCATAATCAATTTAACAAAAAAGACGAAAACCAGAGCTTCCACAGTCAACTCCAGTTACTTTACTTCTAATTCGATGATACAAACTTGTCTGATAACGAGTTACTTTATCATTGTCACTCTCATATCATTCGTGTAAGTATTGCAAATGTTCACGTTTATATATATATATCCGCTATGGCACAAAATAGATAATTAGAGAAATAAAATTTTCAAGTTCACTCGTGTCGTTGGCACTTTGTATTGTTATTGCTCGGCTCTTAAAAAGAGAAATCACAAATTGTTTGGTTTACCAGTACAACTTCAGCACCCCTCGATCCGCTTGCCGACTCTAGATCTTGATGAGTAGGCGTCTCAATCTACACTTCGGAAAGTTGGGTTTAATTTTACTGGTGATTTTATTCGTACTCAAATCTCCCATATGGCCATGCTATGATGACAGTTTTTCTCAGTTTACAGTGACTTAGTCTATGCACGTTTAGCTAAGCCAGCAACTTTGTAGCAGATGAAACAGTTCTCAATCTTGCTTGAAGCAGCCAACTGACGTTAGAAATGAAATTTGCACGTGAAAATAACATTTTGGTGTGTGTCTCAATTGCTGTGTCTGCTGTGCAGACGAACGTCATCAAAGTCACAAGTTGATACTGTATCTCGTAAAAAGTAAGATATTATGAAGGCAGTTACGTCTCGCCCCAATTCCTTTTCCTGCTACAATCTTCGAAGGCGGCGCTATTCTCGGTTCCTTCAAAGCCTGTATCCCCGCAGGAGCAGAATACCGTACCCATATTTTTAGCCAGGGGGGCTATTTCCCGACCACTAAGGCTAATCCTTATCTCGCTCTCTTGCTCACAAATACAAAAATTAGCAATAGCTCACATTAAAAATAAAAGAAAATAGTTGACAAATTATATTTCATCGTGAAGTTATAAATCATTTCCAATTCTTAAAAAAATTCTTATTGGGCAGTTATTAATTTTTACGCCTTTTGAATCCATGTCTCTCAAAAAAAATGTTAACGATTTGTTTCCTCCCCCCCCACGCCTGCCGCCGCTGAAAGTCATTTCTTCAATAACTGACCCATCAGACAACCAAAAAATTGGGAGATTTTCGACGATCATTGATGTTGTTGAACTAGAAACTAAACTAGGAGGCACCCAGATAAAAGCTATAAAGTATAGCCTCAACAATTTACATTCTATGGAGTCACTGAATAGTGTTATTCCTCGGCCTTGTATCAAGTTCTTCCGAAATAAAGCATTACCGATTACTAGCAAGCTAATTAACAGGGAGAGCTAGGAAAAGGTTTTTCAGCATGCTTAGAACATCATTGGAAAGTCACTGAAGTATTGAGAAACTTACCACCTCTCTTAGTCTCTTCACTGAAATATAAATATTGTTTCATCTGTCTTTATTACTTTGATTTTTTTTTCTTCGCAAATTTAACGGGAAGACTGGGAACAAGTTGTCCTTTCGTCGGCCACGAATACAAAACACCCCCAGCAGACACGTAGGGAACGAAGTTTGCTACGAGATCGAAATACCGCTAAATTCCACTTGAGAGAGCCTAAATTACCGCCTTTTCACGAAAATTAAAAGTAGGTGAGGTATTTCAATACACTTTTGAGGTTACTGAAGTTTTCCAGCGTCAAAAACGTCATCTGAATCGTTATACTAACGAGAAACAATGGACGACAACGTTGGCGTTCCGAGGACAGGCGAAGGATTATCGGTAGTGCCTTCGTTATCTGAAGTAAGCGAACAGATCGCCATCGCCGAGCACATCCCGACTGAACACGAAACTACCACAACTGCTGTCTTCCATGCAGGCGAAGAGGCTTCGAATACGAATGTCGGTGGGCATCCACAGTGTGAAGTACAAGTGGTGAAAGTCGGGGATGGCAATGTTAGTATCAGTTTCGCTACCCCTGCTCCGGCCGTGTCACACATTCAAGCTTCTCAAGCCTCTTTACAGCCCATTCAGGAGGTCATCGCAGACAGTCCGGCGCATTCCACTCGATCATCCAGCCCAAATCTTCAAGAATCGCAAGCTGTGACAACCATTCAACAAGCAGAACAAGATGAAATATCTGGGAATCAACACGCCGACGATGGTTCACCTCTGGCGCGTCAGAAGTTCGAAACCCAGGGGAAATCTGCGTGGGATGCAGCGTTGAGTACAGAGATACTCATCGTCCGCTGTAGAAACGAAACGGCTGAGTTATTTAAGACAAAACTTGGATCAGGAGGTCGTGGAAAGTGCATTAAGGTAAAAAATAAGAGCAGCACGCTCGTTTTGGACTGATTTTCTGCTTCGCAGGAACTCGGATCTTTGATCTCACACATTTCGTGCAATAAAGATGTAAATTGTTTGAGCTTCCGTTCTTACGTATTGGGAATTGTAATGGTTTACAGAACCTTTCAAATCGGCAATATCGCTTCATGGCTGTAAAATACGCAGGCACAAATTTCTTGTTATTGGTTTGTATTGTTTTTATAGTTTAAACGTTTTCCTTGCATGCTTTTGTTTTTGTTTTTGTTTTTTCATTTTGGTCTATTTGTCTTCTTCAGCTTGTTCAACCCCCTTGCAAACAACTTACGTCTCCTTTTACTGTCATATTGATGTGGGTGACCGTGGTCCGCTAGTACGTCATAGGCTTGTAAAAGTGCAGCTTATTACACAAATGCAAAGAGGAGGGAATAAAAGAAAGAAAGAGCGATAAAGCCCAAAATAAAAACATGAATTTAGTGAGTCCTTAAAGCAAATTTAATGACTGCTTAAATGAGCTAGTGGGTTGTAACAGTGATATAGGGAAATATTTGGTTCAAGAAACTGTTGGAAATTGTCTTTTTTTCTCTGTGTTCTGTTACTGACAGTATCAAGACCAATGGATGACACCATCAGAGTTTGAAGCACGTTGTGGAAGAGCATCTTCAAAGGACTGGAAGCGCAGCATACGTTATGGTGGTCGAACCCTCCAGTCTTTGATTGAGGATGGAATTCTCACTCCTCATGCCATTTCCTGCACTTGTGCAACTTGTTGTGATGATGACACTCTGGTATGTTGAATGCACAGTTCATTCTCGTAAATACATGTTATTATTTATCATGTATTAATATAAGATGTATAAATTAACGATGCAAGGAAGAATTATTGATAAAGGGATCGTGTCTACAGAAAAGTAGACTGAAATAGGACATTAAGGCAGTGGAGGTGTGAATAATACAATATGCATGAGCACTGTTTATCCCAAATATCTGAAAATGTACATGTACACTAAATGTGTTTACCAGAAGATTACTGTGCACTGTTTATGCAGTTGAGAAAACAGTTTTGGACTGGGTACCCATGGGAATGGAGAAGAACTCTCACCTATCAGTGTGGTATTCCAGAGTCCATTCCTAAACCCTTTATCACTTTTAGGATTCATTTGTGGTTGGTTCTCTTCCTTTCTCTAACAGTTTTTCTCTAGGTTCTCTCTTTTTCATTCCTATGCAAAACCAACTCTCCAATCTGCAAAAGTAATTGTTGTAATGAGAAACAAGAAACTGTACTCTTCAAGATGTAAACAATGATTTTATTTGTGCAGTACAAAAATGAAAGGTAAAAGTATCATTCTAATCTTTTTTTAGGCTGGTCCAATAAGACTGTTTGTTCCATATAAACGTCGCAAGCGTGAGTCATCACAATCTGGATCACCAATTCTAAAGAAGAGTTTGTCTCTCAGTTCTGAGAACTCTCGACGAGATGGTAATTAATTAAGTTGTGCATTATAAAGTTTTTAAACATATGCAGTTATACTCATGTTTGCTCTCAGACCTGGACATTTAAAAGATTTGATGACAGAGATGCACATATTCATATAAACACAGGAAAAAATTTTAAAGATTGCAGGTTAATGCAAATCAAAGCTAAAGTTCTAAAACCACTTTTGTACAGTTGTATGTGAAATGCAATCTTTAGTAGTGCATGGTTGCCTTCTTTTCTCTGATAAAAATAATTCTATGTTATTGCTTGTTTTTACACATTTCTTTTTTTAAGCATAGCAATTTCAAAATACAATATGTACATATATAAGGATAAGCTGTATGTGTACAGATTTTGATTGTGAAGTGTTTTTGGAAGACAATCAGCTCAGCAGTTTTATTATAGAGCAATTGTTTCATTGTTTAAGTTCGTACTTCTTTGTTATAATCATCATTCTTTTCAATATCTTTTACCATAGCCCATGGATTCATGATGCGGTCTGTTAGGTAAGAGTTCTTTACACACTGGCATATTTAACATGTACCTGCTGTGTGTAGGAGTGTAAAATTTGCAGCTCACATTTGTATCTTCAGAATGAACAAATATATGTTCTGTAGCAATTTGGTAGGAAAGTGAAACATTTACAACATGTTTTATTATAAACATGAAATCGACTTGTCTTAAGTTGACAAGGGTCCTTGCCAATAAATGAATGAATGTGTTTTTGTTTCAGTGTTGATTCAGCATCTGGTGCTTTTGCTACTAATGAGGATGGAACAGTCATGGACACTGGAGGTAATAAACAGACAGCACAGTTAGTATTGGCAGAAGAATGCTACCAAGGTTTTCTTTTTAATTGTTAAGTTTGTAATGTCTTCAGATTTGATAGACTTCATGGAATGCATGTGTGTTCAATATATCCTGCAAATTCCAACAAGTGAAAATCCTGAAAATAGTTGAGGATTCTTTATAACCAGGCCTACACTTTGTTACTAAATGTTTCTATTTAACAGGTAGATTGCATATTTGAATTCAAGATTTCTTTCACAACTATCATCCTTAGAAGTCAAGAGCAAATAAGCAAATTTATTTTTTATTAAAAATGAACCATGCACGCTTATGATTTTCACTATCTATCATGTAATAGAAAGTGAGTGGAGAAGCCAATGAGTCTGAAACATTTGTGATCAAATGGTTTTTAGATTTATAATAAGATCTGATAGACATTGTGGAAATAGAGATTTAACTTAGGTAGCCTCTGACTTACCAATGTAATTGTTGAATCACTCTTTCTTCCTTTAACTAACAGGTGAATGGTTTGCCACACTTTTTCTTTAGATTTATCTAGTGGTCTGGTGACAGTCAGCAGCTGTGTAACGAGTGCAGTGCCACCTCAGACTCCTGCCACTCCTCTTACACCTATGATAAGTCCTTGTCCCCCAATCATGACACAGGCAGCAGCAGTCAGACCTGAAGGGCAACAGACCATCACAGTTACTTTACCTGTTACACCTCTCCCAACAGGAGATGCAGTCGTAGATCAGAGAAGACATTGGTGGCATATTGAAGAAGTAAATAAACAGATGCATTGGAATGTACATGTAATTAATGATGTTTAACCAGGTAGCTGTTATAAGTATAAAATTGTCTTACCTTACAGGTGGGGATGGTTTTTCTATTTTTAATTGTGTTGTTCAAATATTTTATTAAGTATTTAACTTACATGTTAAAATAATCATACTTCCAATGATTAGTATGGGTACAATATTTGATAAAAACTACTTGTATAGTACATATTGTACCTACCTAATGAAGATTCCCACGTATACTGTGAATGAAATGAAAGTGAAATGCATTTCCAGTCTCATGCTGTATTTATATTTGTTATTAAAAGCTGTAGAATTGGAAATTTTGTGAGGCAGGATCTTTCATTCCATTTTGTGATATCAAAACCGCAAGTTTTCAAAGCAGAGATTAGGACATTTTATCATCATACTGAATATTACTTTAATTGTATGATTTGTAGATGGTGAACTCTTTGTTGAATACAGCTCAGCAGTTGAAGGGAATGATAGAACATGCTAAGCTGCAAGCAGAAGCATCAAAGGATGCAGCCATCACTCAGGTCAAACTTCAGGCAGAAGCAGAAAAGAAAGAGGTTGGCACAATAGGATTTCTTTTAAACCTACTACTCTACATAAAATCCTTGAAACATCTTAGTACGCTTTGCTGTTACTGTCAATGTGCTGTCTGTATTTTGTGTTTGGTTAATTTTGACATAATTGCACTAGTCATAAAATCACTTTATCTAATTCAAGAACGTCTCAAATAACATTTCCAGATTGTAAGAGATTCTAAATGAAACAGTTTTTGCAAAGGATTAAGATATGTGCTCTCCAATATCCTAAAACAAACATGTGGCAATAGTTTGATAAGGTACACTGTATGCACAGTGTATAGGTGCATGTGCTGGCATACATGTGGCTGTATGCACAGTGTATAGGTGCATTTGCTAGCAAACATGGAGCTCTACGCACAGTGTATAGATGCATGTGCTGGTGTACATGTAGCTCATCATGTCTGTCTTAAAACTCTGTTGTGGAGTGATGATTTGTGTTGCACATTTGATTGAAGAATTTGGAATTCATTTCAATTTAAACCCAAAGAAAGATTATATGTTCTAAATAATTTTATTATCTGGACATCAAATTTTTACAGGTAATAGAACTACAAATTTATTTTTTCATAGTTTCATATACTTTATGTTTAGTTATTGTTAATGTGAACAACATCTTTGTAGGCCTTGGCACAAGCTCGCATGAATTCTCTGATGCAGTTTTCCCGGGCATTAAATGATGCTCGAGTGGAGAAGGAAGCTGCCATAGCACAAGCTGTGGCACAAGCAAAAGCTGAGAAAATGGAGGCTGCTGCTGATGAACGGCAGGAACAACTTATCAAGGTAACAGGCAAGACAACACATAGCTTCTTTGAATGACAATGTGTGTGATTTATTTATTTATTTATTATACAGTATTGGTATATTTGCTTTGGTGACTATAGAGATACTTGCACTCTGATTGGTTGAGGATGCATCATATCTCATTCTAATCCCCCTATGGAAGGTGGTTATAGTTGGGGTGCTAAATTTAAAAATGGCTGCTTTGCATTTTGTCAATATTGGGCTGAAAGTGGTTATGCAATAGAACAAACTAAAATTCAGAAGAACACAAAAGATGCTACTCAGTTTGATATAACTCTCTTTAAAAGAATACAATGAAGTTTTTGCCACTGGAAATGAATAAACCTGTTGAATTATAGTGGAAACTGACTGCCTATCCCAATATGAGTAATCTAAACAATTGGAACAGAATGGTATCAACAAAAAACAAATTTTCAGAATTTAAAAGCACCTGGGCAATTGTACTAAAACAATTATTTGCCTCTGGCTCAGTGATTATTGTTGAACAATCTCCTCAACTTTATATTAGGGATTATTCAACAATAGTCATTTGGCCTTTGCAAATAATTGTTTATTGATTGATTCAATAATTTGAACTGTCACTGTCACCAGTCACAGATTCACATGTTCGTGAATGTGCTACTTAAGCAATAGACCACTAATTTACTGGTGAAATACCTTACATGTGATGTTTGGAGAACACAAGAAAAGTTGGTCAATCATGAACCAGACCCAAGTGATTTGCAAAATTTTCAAGTAACTTGTATATATTAAATTTATTTGAAAGTAAGAAATATGAATAAAGTATTTTTCAAAGAGCCACTAATAGTTTTCCCACTGGGATGTTAGCACTCTTTAACACAGCATCATCCCTGTTCCTCCAAGTTACCTCTGCACCATCTCTGCTCCCCTTAGAAAGGAGGGGCTTTCTTCTTTACAGTTTTTGTCAAACAACTGTTGCCTTGATACAAATTGCTAATAGGAGTTTTTGTTTTCACAGTCCCTCAATGGTGGTGAAGGTGAAATAGCAATGGAAGAAGACCCCTCAGTTGTTGAGGAAGGGGAAAAGAATGGTGTGGAATAGAACCAGATCAAGTTGAAACTAACCTACCTTTAAACTAAACTGAGAAATGAAGAACCTCTCAGTGATACATGTGCATGTATTGTGGAATGCTTAACAGACTGAGAGTTGCTTTTGAAGCTCCAATGAAATTGCCTAAGAGGTGTCAGGAGTACTGCTGAGAGGAAGTTTCCCACATTGGTTGATACAAGAATTATTCACCTGTGACAGCATTTCTTGATTTCATTCATCATCCAAGCAATGTGCTCATCACTTAAATTCTACTTTACATGTACCTTTGTCATTATTTCATTAGGGTGATCTGCCCTTGACAATCTACCTTAGGAAAAGTATGAACTACCTTTGCTTCTGCAATTTTTTCATGTAGTGGCATCGACAGTGCTGTAGTTTCTCAAGACATTTGGCAATGTCGTTGAATAACACCATACAACCCTTTTACGTAGTTCTCTTTTCTATTTGAGCATTGCAAAAGAAAATGAAAGTATTCATAATGGCCAATAAAGTCAAAAGAAAACATCACAAGGAGCTTATTAGAGGAATCAATGGATAAAGTGAAGCAGAAGCAATGCAATTATTGGGAATAACTTTTGGACACTCAGTTGAAAACTGCTCAAATTGTTTTTACAAAAGGTAGTGAGCTATCTAGTTATTTCTCTGGTCATTAGTGTTTTTCACCTTTTAAACAGAGATGGGGGCCAAGGGTATTTATCGTTATGTTTGAGTTCACAGTAAGGAGCAAACATGCTTCTCCCTCTCTCTTTCTTTCCCCCTGGAAAGGAGAGAGAGAGAGAGAGAGAGAGAGAGAGAGAGAGAGAGAGAGAGAGAGTGTGTGTGTGCCTGGCAAGAAGCTTAACATACAGTATGACTGATTAGATTTAGACCAGGAGCCTCAGTTGTCCACTGTTGTAAATATTTGTAGCTAACTGGGTTTGAGTCCTTCCAGTTGGCTTTCTTAACTTGTGTCATTACACTGCTGAGGATAGGCAAACCATACACATTTTGTGACTGCATATACATTTATGTATGTTTGTATTTGTTGAATTTGTAAAATAATTACATTGGATCTTTATAAAATGTGTATCTTGTTGGTGGTCCTCACTTACATTGTACCAAAAAAATGCCACTCAAATGCCACTCAAAAGCAAAACCTTCCAAAGTAACTTCCTTTAGTTATCACCTCAATCAATTCCTTGATACATTTCTTGTGAATTTAGTTCTTCTTTGTCTCAAACATAAATGCATGTCGTCTCAATTCCCACTCTCTTCTTCCCCTCCCCCCTCCCCCCTCCCCCTCCCCTCTCCCCTCTCCCCTCTCCCCTCTCCCATGCAATTTGGGCATCTCATGAATAAGTACCCAGGAGCCAGGTGTTGTTGCTGAGCAGGGTTTTATTTATTTAAAAGACTATTTATTAATTTTTGTTTTAATCCCTATTTTTAATTTTCAGCTCAGTGCCAGAGAAAAAGTATACATATATTTATTTGTGTACCTCCATGGTAGAATTATTATTGAAAATCTCAGTAATGTTGACTTTCCATTTAAAAAAGAGAAAATGAGGTCAGAAAAGTGACATGAAACGTCTTCAGCTACCCTGTAAAGTATTCATGAAAGCATAAGGCCACTATTTGGTGTGTGTTTGGTCTGCTCTTCTTGCTGCAATTTTTCCCTCCAATATCTTTTACTTTCCGGGTCTGGTTTTTTATCTGGGTTTCCATCTGAAGAGAAAAACTTAGTTTCTAGTGTCCAGGGCCTCACTCTCTGCACAGCCAAGACAGATCCCATCAATCTTTGCGGATAAACATTATGGCGGCTGTGCCTCGAGCCATGCGGAAGAGAGTTCGGTACAATGTACGTGATTTTGCTTTTTGAAAAGCTTTTTTTCTTAATTTTAACCGCACAGAACATTTTCTCACATCTAGTCGGATGTAACATGACTTAATTCACTTTTTTGATGGCTGAAGTCTGGAAACATTCTGGATAGTGCATCAGCGATGACCTCGATCATAAAGACTTGCTGGCAGGTAAGATTTCCGTATTTGATTATCAGAAACATGGTCAAAATTTATTTTCAAATTCAGCCTTTAAGTCACTCAAACTAGTGTATTAAGGAGCTCAAACGCAGATGCTATTGTGAAACTGATTGTAACCGGACTTTGAGAGTTGTTTTCTTATTTAAAGGTGTTTACATATAACCAGTAGTACTTGTATCATGATTCTTGCCGCCGTCCACGAGTAAAAAACGTCGGTACTTAAGTTTCCAGGATAGCATTCTGGAAACCGAACGTGCTGTGTTGTTTGAAACAATCCTTTTAAAATTGGGTGTCAATGTAGTCGTTTGAAGGGGAGATCATGCTTGTTCTCTTTGTGACTCAATGCATGGTTGAATAGCTAATGCTGTCGTTTATTAGGGTAAAATTTACCCTCTTCTCGTAAACTTTTTTAGTGTATATTGTTTTTGGTAATGGAACGATTTAGATTTTACTCAGTTGTCAAGGTTGCTTTTATTTTGAATTGAGATAGACAAAATAATCCACATTGTGACAAATAGCTTCCTGCCTCATGTCTTGTTTTAATTTCTTCTTTTTTCTGTCTACTGTTCTGTCTTATTCCATGATTTATCTTCTTTAACAACTGTGAAGAAGCCCAGCATAAAATGAATGTTCAACATGAGATTTTTAAATCTCTTCAGGATCACTTGGCAGTTCCTCATTAACTTATAATAGTTTGGATAGTATAGGTTGTCTAGACTTTTTAAATTTTCAGAAAAATTAATGACTACCAGTCATTTACTCAGTTGAGAACTGTGACTGGCAGTTGATGTCACTCAATTTCTAAGTATTCTGAGCCAACTTTAACTTAGCATTACAAATGAAATTTATAAATCTCCTCAAAATCACTTGGCAGTTCCTCTTTGACAGAGAGTATTCAGTTTTGGATTGTATAGGTCCTTTGATCTCTAAAACTTTTTTTTCTTATTTAAGAACCATAACTGGCAGAGGACCTTACATAATTACCATGAAAGTGTCAATATTCTGAGAAAGTGCAAACTAAGTGTTTGACATGAGAAAAATACCCAAATGCCAGTCATTTGGTTGTTAGAAAACTTTTACTGGCTCCAGGTCATAAAACTAGTGCAAACAATTGACACAAAACAAAAAAAACTTTACAGTTTTCAACAAATTATAGCTTAATTCTAACCTTAAATCACAAAATTACCATAAGATATGTCTTTTTGTAATACATTTGCTTCCCTTTTATGCCCATTTCATTATTTTTTTCACAATCTTCAAATATCATTTGCTCAAAAGTTTGTTTTTAAGCTTTAGGTGTTTATTACATGTATCTCCTTTACAAACTCCATTTCTTTGGTTGCCAATTTCTATATAACTATAGTCTTTTGAGTGCTGTTTTATCTGTAAATATGAAATTTTGGCAAAAGAAGAAGCAGTTTCACCTATAAGATGTGGTCTGAAGCACATACTTTAAGCAGCTATTTTGAATTCTTCTTTACCCATTTCAAACCATGTGACCACATAGCTTAAAAGGTCTGTTGTAACTAATGTGGGTTGTTTATCACATTTTCTCTTTGCTAGAAACCTAAGGTTTTAACACTACATTTAAAGATGTGATAAAATCTGGTCAATGAAAGTCAGCATAGGACAAGGTCCAAAACATTGTTGTAGCTCCAACCTGAGTTATGATTTATTGCTCATTCAAATGCTCACTGGAATTGTACAGAAGATGATTTAATCAACTTTTCTACAATTCCAGTGGATATTTGTTTCAGAAACATTTAGTTGGTTACATTATGTCTTATCTAACACCACACTAACTTCTTGTAGAAAAGAAAATTGTATATTTTGAATAAATATTATAAGAAATAATATAGAAAGAAAATTATAATTTGAGTCATCTTCATATAATTAGCTAAAGCCTATTAAAAGTAATTTGTTAAACAAGCAACCGACTCAGAATTTAAAATGTCTGGAGGTAAAGGGTTCCACTTATGGACCACATATAGCTATTGGAAAAACATAAAACTTAAAAATATCTTAATTAGTTTTTTGATATTCTATATTTGATTGCATGGCTTTCATTAGAGAATTAAATATACGTAATTACATAGTAACAGTACATTTTAATTATTATTTAACAATACAAATGTACATGTTTTCATGTATATAGGTGGATTGAGTGCTATTTTAAGTGGGTTGCAATTGCATGTTAAAAGGAAACTATTACTTTGGCTTTAACATATCATATACATGTATAATCTAATAATATTATTTTAACTTAATGGGATAACTTCAATATTACAAAAGAAATCAACCTACAATATCATCTGAGGACTAAAACTAAGAAGTTACTTAGGGAATATTTCAGGATATAACATGTGTTCACAGCTGCAAAATTTGCTAGAACTAGTTAAAAATTTCAGAAAAGCTAGACCTTTTGATTGATTTTTTGATTGTCAATATAAGAGTCTTCTTAAGTGAAATTTCCAATCTTTATGTTTCTTTTTTAAATTGTTTTTTTTAAGATTTCTTAATTTTAATGGCCTTTCCAAACTTTTTTTCTAATTCTAGAGAAAGAATGCAATTGAATTGAGAGTCTAGAGCTTTGTTTATAAAAGTTGTTAGAAGCAGAAGATTGGGTGTTGTAAGATTGGATCTTAGAAATATCTCGGAAGAGTTCTAGTATGCTACGTGCATTTCTTTGTCTGAGTAGCTGCAAGTTCATAGTAGGAGGGTTGCAACCATGCAACATCAAAACACCAGCATGAGTGAATAGAGGAATTGCACTGTGGTTGCAGTCAGGCAAATAAATAAAATGGAGAGCAGGGTATTGGAGATTGAGAAGCTTGTGAATGTACAGTCCACATACTTGGCCCCATGCTATTAGCCCATATGTTAAATATGATGCCATAAGAGAATGATATATGCCTAAGAAAGGATGTGTTTGTGCAAAATATCATATTGTATATGTAGTGAGGCGAATTTTAATTGCTACATGGTCAACATTTCACAGATACTCATTTAGGAATACATATCTCTCTATATGGGAGCTTGTTATTAGTAGCAAAACTGACATGCATACGTACACACAACACAATGACTGAAAATCACAACCTGAGGATATGCAATGACATGCAAAATTATTCACTATGTTTAAAACTGAAAATAAATTACAATAGAGGTTTGAGCTTCCACTTCTTATGAAACTTGTTTAAACTTCTAGTCTTACCAGCAAAATATACAACTTAGCTTCATACTTTTTGCATAACATGACCTTAAGTAGCTTGAAAGTAGATTTTGTATGGTTTCTCTTGTACTGACATGGTACATATTTTCCAACCAATTGAAATAAAATTATTTAAAATATTGTGACCTTTTCCAAAAAAGCTTACAATCATTTCTTTTAAAGATGGAGTACAATGTAAAAACTTCTTTCATTTGCTCATACCACAATGGTTCAAGGTTCATCTAAAGTGTTTGTGAAAATGGACAGAGATAAAGTAAGTATTCTACCTGTAATTGTTCTCTGGAAAGACTACAAAAAGTGCAGACATCTGATCCTGCTTTTCCCAATTTTTTTTTTTAGTAACATATCCGTGCAGGTTATTTTTTTAAAGTAATATGAATAGAAAATCCCTTAGAATTGTTCAGTCGGTGGAAGGTAGATCTTAGGTAACTCTTTATGACTAGAATTAAATTTATTCTGCTACCTTTTTGCAGCATTTTGTAGAGTACTTGTAGCTTTCAACTCAATAAGTACACTATGTGTAGCAGCATCAGCTCTGGTGACAGAGAGATCTGTGAAACTTAAGACTGAATGACTCACTGGATCCACAAGGCTCAGATTTATTAAGTAAACTCTTACAGCAATCCTTTAGAACAATATGTGTAACTGAATGCTCTAGATTGTATCTGAGTGTTAAAGCAAGATCTGGTATTTCCTGTCAAATTTCTGTGACCCTTAGGGGTTTTTACACATGTTTGTGATATATAGCCTATTAGGTCAGGTGGTAGCTAGAAAAAAACTAATGGTAACGTGGTTCAAAATAAT